GTAATGACTCTAAGGCTATGGAGGAATTCTCCATGATGGCTACTCTCTATCTTCCAGCGGCGTAATTGAGGCCCACATTATCGATACAAAGACTCCGATCTGCCTCAAAATTACGTTAAATATATGTGTCTATTTCCTAACAGCTGATTCTTCACCATTTATCGCGAACTTCTATACTATATGTATTAAGAGAACCGTCGACAAAAGCACTAGCATTCCTTGATGCTATTTTAGCTATTAGAAAATTAGATTTGAAAGCATTACAACCGCCACGAAGATGATTGGTGATTTAAAATCTGTAATCAACGACCGCTTAGCACTCACAAAACACTCTCTTACGGCTTTGAAACATCTTAATTACTCGCATTCTATCTCCTGCCTTGCCAGGGCCAAAGGAAAAGCTTAAAAAGACATGGACTGGTTGTCCAAATCGTTTACCCATCCATCGACCTCGGAATGGCGGAGCCTTCCTCTTCAGGGATTTGACGTAAGTAGTGCAGTTAGTCAGCAATGCTCTTTTCGTACCGATCACTTCGTTAAGACCTTTCCAGAGGTCAAGCTAAATCAGTCGAATGCAGTGCAAAACGTTTCCCTTTCCACGTGATACCAGAGTTATTGATATTTCGCTCGCAGAGCTTCCGCATTGTGCTAAAAGGAATTAAAGGAGTATTCGTTTGGTTGTTTAGGGAGCCCGTGATTGAACCCAATTATATATGGTTGTGTAGTGTCGTAACTTGGTGGATCTGGTCCTGATCCAAAGCAGATGCAGTCATGTGAAAACACACCTTTATACAGCCAATGTATGGTATAGTACTTGGGAAGCGACGAGTCAATTTCTAATGCAATATTGGATAGTCGGCCGAATTCTGGACGCTTTCTGACATGTTGTAACGTCTGCATCAGCTGATGCAATGTTGTTAGGGTGACTCGATTCTTTTCCTCGATGTCCGGAGATTTGTGTACCAACCTCCACGTACCTCGGACACTTTTACAATAGTAAACAAGATTCTCTAGAATGCGGCACTCCGGATCCTTGTAAACGTTATCGAAACAATTGATAATTGATCTAATATGCGCGAAAAGTTTCTTTCTTGTCTCCCCAACTCATCTGGTGTCGTAGTATATCCATTTAGTTGAGTCCTTGCTGGTTTTGCCCTGGGAAGACGAGAATGCTGACGCATTATTTTTAGATGCTGTTTCTTCAACGTCGTAGATGTGATCGCGATTCAGGAACCGTTTCTCTATCGAATCACCAGGCGTGTGCTGGCTTGAGTGTAGTAGGGTCGTTGATTGACCAAGCTGCCCGTGGCCTAAGCGGTTGTGTGTCTCACCAAACATTGATCTACTCCCAGATTTATGTGCTACTTGTGCCACGGGTAGCATACTTTACTCTACCTCTTTCGCGATCCATCGCTAGTCTTAGTTGTTTAAAAGCTGATCCAAGTCTCAGCTTATCACTTTGAACTTTGATGGCCACGTGTATGCTGTATCTATGCATGTCCATTTTGCGGAGCATGGCCAGCATTTTAGTTGTTGGTCTTGTGTGGTGTTGTAGAAAGCGTTATCCAAAAGCGGTGCGTGATCCAAAACCGGGAGAATGCCTACCTATCTCTTCATGGTTTTACTTTATTGCACGAAAGTTCCTTCTCCAAATACCCATCAAAGGGGGCTTCTAATACAATGGATATGTTCATATGCTTTTTGGACATTAGTGAACAAGCTATGTAGTTGAACGAGTTGGTTTGTTTCCAGCGCCTGGGGGGTACTCAGCCGTGTTGAAGTATCTATAGATAGCATAGCGCAGATGACTTCAACCCAGGGCATGAACATCTTTAGTCTTGTTTCCTAATCATATCAAGTATCTCATTACTTATGGGCTTAAATGTTACTACGATAGAAAGTTGCGACTACGAAACGGGCATCAAACTAGAGTTTTCGACTTTCTTCAAAGCCATTTACTTCTTCAGGGCCAAACACCAGATGGAACAAGACTCCGACCTAGATGCGTCTTTGACCACATATCACTGGAGTCATGAGTTTCATTATTGCACGCGCTGCACTCATCTCTTCTTTGTAAGGTCATTCTTACATCAATTTTTAGTCTCAAAAAACTTCAACAGCGAACTGCTTTCTATAAGAACTCTTAATAATCGCACAGACTACAGCGTTTTGCCATTTCGCCCTGAGCAGGACCTAAACTACAGAATCACAACCTATACGCGTGGAACACGATATACACATGAATGTATTATTTACATCTTTACCCCAATTCTGTAGAGTGATGATAATTCCCACAGAAAGAATATGCTCATAGGTTGTCAATGAGTGGGCTGAGACCTTGCGCGCTACCAATCCTATCTTCATAGAAGAACCTACTCCTCTCGACACTTGCACGGTCTGCCATCCACTTGGCAAATGCGGGTGCATCCGTGTTAGGCTCCTCAAGAATTTTATGATGGCCCTCAACCGCCGGAACATCTTCGCGGACGCTCCACCTACCATTACCCTTCTGATACTCATCGCTGAGCATGAAGCTATGGAGCAATTTTGCACCTTCGGGGTGCGGTGCCTTTTTCAGGATGGCACCAGTCTGAGGCCAAGAGACAAATTTTGCATCAGTGGGTAGTGCAAATGACGCTCCTGGGCGATCCGTGAATGAATAGCTGCCAGTGAATGTTGCTACGCTGGTGCTGTTGGCATTTGTGAGAATTGTTCCTGGGGTTTGTGTGCCGCGTACCCAGCGGGGGTTATTGGCAAGCAGGGCGTCGAACCATTTCATGCCAAGTTTTTCCAAGCTAGCCATTCAATCAATAAACCGCGTGCAAAAGATAACGATAAGAACTTACATGATATCGAACTGGTACAAAACCGCATCATCATCGTTAGGATAAGTCAGAATGAGCTTATCCTTATACTCAGGTTTGATAAAATCTTCGTATGCAGTAGGCACTGCACTCGTCTTGTTCAGGTTGGCAGAGAGACTGTGTTTGTTTAGTAATGACATTGGAATAGAGTTCATGGTGTGTTATACCCCCAAGCAATAATGAACAGTCCGGTGTAGGCTGCATCTGCATCCTTGAACTGGGGGTAGACCTTGTCGAAGTTCAAGGGCGCATAATTCATCAAAGCGCCTGCCTTCTTCCAGCGTGGGTAGTCATGCAGTGTTTGAAGAATAACGCTGTCGACGTATACATTGTCGTTTGCGAGTTGCAAATCTATGTTTCCATCGTGGTATTTGGAAAGGTCGACCGTGACGTTAAGAGTCATTTTGGGAAATCGTTTCTCGAAGGCAGCCTTCAGGGCGTTTTGCTGAGTCTTTTCGTCGCCGCCATGCCAAAGAGTGACAACGCCACCTTCAGCTACAGCTGCTTCGTAAATTTCGTCAAGGCTGCGCGTTTCTTGCGTGGACGTTGTGGCGTTTGGCGCAGGTGCGGCTAGAGTAGCACAGACAAAAAGTGCCAGATTGGAAAGTGTGACACGCATGATCGCTTATGGCGTTCCGTGCAGTTGTAATAAGAAGGTAGGTGCCTAACAAATGTTCGGAAGATTGTAGCTCTTATACGAGAATGCCGTGGGTATGTAAACTTAACATAATGTTGGTTAGTGTGGGACTAGTTCGCGGCTAGTGCTACAAGAAGGCTAGTACATGGTGTATCACTATCAGTTATATTGGATCCATTGGGAATCGGCCCCTTTCGACAAAGCATTTATACGCGGAGGAACATAGCCGAACAAAATCTCAATAATCATACATAGTGCACAACTACGTACATACTCAAGTAGCTATAACGTGCGTCATCATTTTAGAGAAACCAAGAACATCTTGATAAACGTACTTGACAAATTAGCCAAGTAGTAATGTTCCTTTACCCAAAGAACACGACAAGGTAACAAAGGTGTTATGGTAGAGTACAAAATATGCAAGTCCTCGGCATAGGTCCAAATCGAATCATAGATTTATCTGCAACACAAGTGGGCATAAGGAAGGAATCTTGAATTTCGGGATAACTTCGGCGACTTTGTAGAAAACAAGTTTCTGGGAATTACGCCATATCGCAGCATCAATCACTACGCTTTATAAGGCAAGTGCATGCGTCATTTGTCACTGCTTTCTATTGAATACCAGCATAGGTAGGCCCTCTGTTCAGTATAGGCTCTCTTTAAAGATAAATCATATCATATTAGCAAGGTAGTAAAGAAAGTGAAAAGAAACACCTCCCCCTTAGGTCTCTTGTTCCTTATCTGCCCCTTTACTCCTCTTTTCTCTCCCTCTCCCATCTTATACGTTTTCTTTTTATGGTATTTTAACTCTTATTTATGCTTTTATCGGAGTTTATACGTAGAGAGAAAGAGAGGAAGGCGAATCAAGAAGGATGGACATTGGGAAAGAAGGGAAGGTAGAAGCGGCTTTAACTACAGTACGAGATAGATTACGATCAAGCTCGAATCCTAGCGGAGATGGGTATAGATAGCGCAACGCCAAGAAAGGGACCCCTGCTTATAAGGGTGACGTATGACTTTTGCCCCTTCAAACATCCGAACAATTTTGGTGGTTTCTTTGTACCAATGTTTCATGGTCACTAGCGTTTACAAGAGTTAAGCATACTATAAATAGTAGTGTATTGTAAGGGGCTGCGCCCTGCCTCTTACGCAATCTTCAACATCGTGAAACCGGCTGTGAAAAGCTCAGCCCTATGCCACTAGACCATCACAACCAGAAAGCTACAATTGATTAATGTTCTGCAAATTCTTTGCACATAACAGTCGATGGACTAGCTTTCGTGGAGATCTTCTGCTGGACAGAGGAGACCCTACGCCTGATTGAAGCAGCTTAGCTATCATCTGTCCGTGAGATAGTCCGTCGCACTGTCCTACAGCTCCGCTGACCCACCCCCTTTCCCTCGTCTTGTTTCAACAGGTTTACGTAGTTTTTGTCATCTAGCGTCTCTTATGACCTCACACTCTCATAATGGATGATTTTGGAAAGTTGATGAATGCAATCAACTAGCATTGAAGTTCGGAGTTGGCCAGAAAATTCTTTTCGCAACCTTTACGTAGAAGTTCGAAGGTCTGATGTTGTTGAATTCCGGATCATACTCGATTGGTTCCACGCTGGCATCTGCAAACGCATACTTGTAAGCCAACTCTACAACGGCAACCTTGGCCTCTAGCAATGCTGCATTGAATCCAATGCAGCCATGTGCGCCCGCAGCGAAGGGCACGTACGCAGAACGGTGCCGTTCCTTCACGCGTGTGGTAGCCCAGCGATCGGGATTGAAGCTATAAGGGTCGTCCCAGTGTGCCGGATTGGTATGCAAGTGGGGAAGACTAGGGATCAAAATGGCACCTGCAGGTAAATGGTAGCCGCCAGGCAGAATAACTTCTTGTCGGTTGTTGCGTGCTGGTTGAAAAGACGGGCTATGCAGGCGCTGTGTTTCTTTGACGAAAGCATCCAGAAACGGCAGCGCCTGCAGTTCCTTGTACGTCCACTCTTTGGTTGCTGCTGCACCGTGATCTACCAGCTCTTGCAGCAGCCGCTCTTGCATCCCTGGGTAGACGGTAAAGGAATAGATCAGCCAGGAAAGAAACGCTGAGCTAGTTATGAAACCAGCCCCCAGAAGCACCAAAATGTTGCCTCGTATGTATTGCCTTTCATTGTCTTCCCGGAGCCATCCGTGGCGCGAAGCAGGTAATCCACAAGGCAGGCAGAATCAGTAGCTGTAACTTGAAGGGGTAAGCCCGTTGATTCTTTGTGGGTCCAGTCCAGGATCGACTGATCGATGTAGGTGTAGGCCTCCTTCAAGCTTTGTCGGAGGAGCGCCGGATCACCTATTCATAATGAGCTCGGAAAAACCATGCGTAGAAAGGACATGTACCGATTGGGAGATACGAATACAGCTTGCCTCGCACGTGAAGGCGAGTATTCAACTTCACAGCGGGCTATCGCATACTACCCGCGCTTGCTTCGGTCCGCCGCCGCGATGTGTGGCCGTCCCGTTCCGCTGCAGCCGACGAATTTCGCAGGAACAAGTAGTATTACCGCAATTGGGATGAGCGTGTGTTGCAGCGGTGGCTGCAGTACGGCTTGCGCAATCTACCCACGGCTGTGTACCCGCGCCACATCCAAGTGGCCGGGACTGAAGCTCACGTGACGCACGAAGAAGACACCGCTACTGACGCTGTCACGCTCACCACGACAAAGCACCAGGAAGTCTTCACTTTCCTCCGGCCAACCTTCGATGCACACGCTTACCCTGGGCTCGGCGCACAGCTTGGGGGGCCAAACAGTGCGGCGTATGCGGATTATACGCCTGAGGCGGCACTACCGGGCCAGCCGCTTGAGCGCGCCGAGTCCGTCGTCGCATTCCATATGTTACCATATGTGCGGCCATCGGTGCTATACGTATTCGGCAGCGAATCCCACTACACGGCGTGCGAGCCGACCGCTGACAAGGTCGAGTCAACGGGCGTGGGCATCGGCGGGAGTGGCGGTGCAGCCAAGGGCCGAGTGGCGGAGGTGACGGTCCAGGGTGTTGGCCATCTAATTCCGATGGAGGCCGTTGACGAAACGGCGGAAGTCAGCGTCAAGTGGCTGGGAGATGAGATGGCGGCATGGAGAGAAAAGGAGATCGTCGAGCGAAGTGAATGGGCGTACATTCCGGATGAGCAGAAGCGGACCATTAGTGATCAGTATCTCGAGGCGTTGAGGGGCGAGACGAAATCTGGTGCTGCACCAATCTCGAAACTCTGATTGTATGGCTTGATGAACTCAATAATAAGATACTATGACTCCAGTGCTTTTTACTTGTACCTCTGACGTCAAGTACAAGAGTACTTTTGGTCGAGTGACAGTGAGTGGAGGCTGTGGAAACTATTGGTACGCTTAAATCAGGCCAAGCAAGGGATAGGTGCGTAGTCATAGCGACAATGTCTTGAGAGAAAGAAGCAGGTTCTTTTTTCGAGAGATATGAAGTTTTTCCCTCTGCTATGAAGTATTTAGGATGACTGAGGGTAAAATGCAAATAGGTTAGAGAACCGTTCTCATGAGCAAGTACTAGACAACAACGAGAAATATAGCAGGTCGGCTAACTGACTATGGGCACTATGGTTATATCAGATAGCTTGACAAACATGTTGCTACTTGCTTTGCACACCCTGTGATTGATGGGCGAGATTGTAAAATTGAAATGTGCCAGGAACCAAGTTGATAACGGCAATCAACAGCCAGATCTTTCTAATTTGTGAGATATAGATTCAACTGAGTTTTAGACAAATTTGGCATGATCATCTGATTACAGCTTTAAGTAGGTAAATGAAGTAATTATGCTAGAAACGCTTCGACCACGCTATTTCGTGTCTCGCTTTTTGACAGAATAGGCGGTGTGTAAGATATTGGTCTGCAAGTTCCAGTAAACCTAACCATTCTGGATAGTGATGATCAATGGGTGGTTTTGTTTTAAAGGATAGTGATTATTTGCATTAGTCTATATATGTACACCCTGAAAACAGTAAAGAGAGACAGATCTGCGCGTAAAAAGCAAACATTATTCTGTCCAATCAATCCATCATTAGTTCATTGCTAGTCACCGCCACATCCCTACAAGCCCAAAGCGATAGCACCGAAGACAATGGCGAAAATGCCGCCCGCTACCTTCTCAGCTGACGCAGCGCCGGTGAACTCCGGGGTGCCGGACGAAGTAGATGAGGGAGTGTGAGATGGGTTCACGGTACCGTTTCCACCCGAGCCGGAAGAAGGGGTAGGCTTGATGCTTATGGTTCCTGGGACTGGCTTGGAAGAAGCCACAGGAAGACCAGAAGAAGAAGCTACAGGCAGGCCAGAAGACGACGCACGAAGACCGTTGCAAAGGCCGTTGTTGCAGGTGTTGTAGGCGCACTGCGCATCGGTCTTGCATGCGGCGTTGAAGTTACCACATCTCGCGATCAAACCGGCGTTGCTGGCCCAGCACTGTACACCCTCGATACACTGGCTAGGTGTGACAAAAGGGTTGCACTCAGCACCCAGAGAAAGAGAGCCAGCGGGCGCGACAATCGTGGGTGAAGGGGCGGGACTCCATCCGGGCGCAGACGAGCTGCTTGTGACGGTCGGTGGGGTTGAGGAAGAAGAAGCCTTGACGCCATTGCAGAAGCCGCCATTGCAAGTGTTGAATGCGCATTGCGCGTCACTGGTGCAAGAAGACTGGAAGTTTCCGCATCGGGGGATGAGCATGGAGTTGGTAGCATAGCAGTTGGCGCCGCCGGCACATGGAGTGCCTCCTGGAGTGCACTGCTCGCCTAGAGCGATAGGAGTTGTAGATGGCGGGGTGGAAGAAGGGACTGGTGCAGAAGAAGAAGCCTTGACGCCGTTGCAGAAGCCGCCATTGCAAGTGTTGAATGCACATTGCGCGTCACTGGTGCAAGAAGACTGGAAGTTTCCGCATAGGGGCTGGAGCATGGAGTTGGTAGCATAGCAGTTGGCGCCGCCGGCACACGGTGTGCCACCCGGAGTGCAGTTCTCGCCAAGAGGAATTGTAGATTGAGCTGAGGCGAGGACGCCGGCTGTGGCTAGAGCGAAGAAAGAGTAACGCATGGTGGAGGTTGCGGATATACTGAAGTTGAGATAGTAAGCGAAAGGTATCGAAATGCTTCGAATAAACGAGAGTAGTTGTGATTAGATTGGTAGTAGTAGACTGGTGATGAAGGATGACAAGCGGGCCTGCCAGCTCTTCTTTATACTTTTGAACATTCGTATTACCACAAAGTTTAAAAGCGTAATACGAGGTTGGTGATCCGGGCCGACCTGACTTGGCGCTCGTAACCCATAGTTACCCGCTTTGGGGTTCGCCACATGATGGCAAGGCGGTGAGCCAATCATCGTCTGTGCTGCGCATCCCAAAATAGAAATCATGCGTCATTGCATCTCCAGCTAGCCATCTTCAGCCCTCGAGGTAGCATTCCAGAGTGTCGCGAACAGCGGGCACACCGAATGGGACGCTATTTACGTACATGGCCTTCGTACTATTGAGGAGCTACACATCTTCGAACAGCCTCGGTCCCAGGTACCTCGACCCAGCACGCAAAGGCGAGCACTGAGCTTCCGTGCCCATACTACTCTATCTCCACACGATCCGTCGGCTGCGCAAAAACACGACTTTTCCATTTTGAAAATATCGTCTATTTAGCACTAGAAACTGTGTACTGGTCACGCTGCGTCCGGGCACGTGCCATCACGTATTCGCATCTGATTTTGACGGTCTTGTCTCAACACGACACCACTAGCAGCGTTAATTGGTAGTCTACGTACTTGCGTGTCAGCTAAACTAGAGCATCGCGGAATCAATATAACAGAACGTCCCATTCAATGGCATGCTTTTTGTCGCTACAACCAGGCGACATACACGCAGGCTTACTAGATCTGAGGGCGTTGTGCCGCGGTGACATGCCTATGCGTACGTTCGATGAAAAATGACCGGAGGACGGGTGGCTGTGCAAGGTAGCACGACAAGCGAGCGATCTACTAGCCACTTATGAGAACCAAAGCTAGCACAACAGGATTCGTTATGCTCGTAGACCCACCGTGCCTCGTTCTGCTCGTGTCCGGCCTTCTCATTCCTGAATTTTTCTTTCAGCGCCGTGATGTCGAGGGGGTCGTTATGGTACACTTTACAGAGTTACAGTATCCGGACCATCATCGCAGTACGAACTGTTTGCATGGAAAGGCTTAAAAAGAAACCTAGCGACCAAGTATTCATATGCCTGGGATATACAATAAAGTTCCATAATCAAACCACGACTATGCCCACTCGTGTTGAGAGGTATGTGGCTTGTAATACTAAAGTTGCCCCAACGGGTACGAGGATAGTTGGATATTTCAGGAATTCTCTCACCCTGTTCAAATCCCCACCTCGGACCCAAGGATCAAACAACACGTCCACTGTTACATCTCTGCCCGCATTTCGTGACGTCGCGCAGCATGTACCCCGCTCCCCCATACAGGCGATAGTATATAGCAAGACTTTCCAAAATATTTGCTTCTTTATTCAAAAAAAATCATTCTTACAATACCCGACAATTCATATAGTTACTTGAGTTCTGTTTAGCCAAAGTCGTCTCATGAATCCCACTCACGAGACCACCCGACCAAGCTTCATCAAAAGTGACTGTAATACGAAACCCCTCGGGTCCCCACATGACACGGCCGGCGAGCCATGGGAGAGTCAATTTTCTCCCACGATGCATGAATACAATCAATGCAACAAAATAGCTCTTTTTTTCTCCGCCCTAGCCTGCAAACGTACAATGGGCAATCCGCCAACGCATTCGATCTGCAAGCCTTGACGTTGGCGTCTTCTACCACTCGTACATCTATGTAGTATAGATGCTTTACTTGCAAAATTAGCATCACATCTTTCGTCAACGTATCCAAAGCTACGAGGCATGATGTGGCGATCGTCATGGCGGCATTAGCTGGCATGTGTAGCGAGTCAACGGTCCCATTCTTGGGAGACCCCTCAACGAACACCACCAACGGGAAAGCCGGATTCTCAAGGAAAATACGGACTAAAATCAACCGCACTGAAGCATACGAGCGAAGCTTGTTTGACAACGTATTTTTTAAATTGAGACTTGCAATAGTTGCAGAATTTTCATCATAGCATGTCTTTCGTGTAGTGCGCTAGATACATTTGGGGGTGTAATGGCGGATCGCAATTACAGAGAGGTGAGAATGAGATCTTCCTTGTACTTGCAACAAATTAAAAAAAAATCTAGCTCTCTCATTGAAGGAACTGTGGTTGTTGTGCATGCTTTGAAGTTTGACTACAGATCGTAGAAGAATCTGTGCACCGGTGTATGCCAATGGCCAAGCTGGGAGTATAACGGTAATTGTGGTATGGTGAAAAATATGACGACTAACTACCTCTTAAACATATTTCAAAATAGCTGAATTGACAAGGTAGAGAAGCAAAACAAGAACACTTCTGGGTTGCGCCCAATCGTATTACTAGTTGGAGTTTATATCTTTGATGTCAGCTATATTATTAGTCTCTTACACATTTGAGCACTTTCCACAAGTTCGGATGCAATTATTTGATGATGGGGTCAAGATAGGATTGCGGTGCGTTAAGTCTGACGGCTTTATCTGTAGCCAAGAGAGCGTTGAAAGACGACGATGCCATCCACGTTTGTTGTTTGAACATGGAGCGGTCATGTGATTCTTCATAGAGATAACATGTGTATGTGACCAGGACAAGCCAGATACGCAACTGAGCATCGTCAGTCGAGTGATATCCGGCCTGCAGGACATTCCAGCTATTTCTACATGCGCATCTGCTCTACAAATGACGGGACAGATTTGTAGGCTATCTCCTTCCACAACATATACGATTCACGAGTGTTTGCAAAATCAGTGTCTTTCCCCGGCAGCACCCTCGTCTTGCATCACCTAATCTCAGGCCGAATTTTTATCTATAACAACAATCAGTTCCCATGCACGCCCACCGACCGTACCGGCCTCTTGTTCTTGTACAGTCCAGTCGGCAAAACATGGTCTGTAGTCGTCCCAATCGGCTTTGGGTCCAGCCCATATTATCCTCTCCACCGCCCCTTGGCCGTACGCCGTCATATACTCCTGAATCAAGCCAACGCGTCTTGGATACACAAAGAGCCAGATCCGGGCTTGTTCCGCCAAGGGTTCAAGGAAGCGGGTGCCATTGACGAGGCGGTGGTGGGAAGAGGGAAGGTATTTGTTAGGGCCCGGCGCGACCTCAACACCGATGACATGAAAGGTATCGGGGCCAGTCATGAGATATGCTTCAAGAAGGCCAAAACCACTTCCTATCGAGAGTGTGATACATGGCGGCGGGGCGAGGAGGGTTTGGAGGTACGCGATGAGCTGGGGACTAAGGGCGAGGCAGCTACTAGAGTAGGCTGTCGGCGTAGCAACAAGTCGTGGAAGGGGGGGCAACACGGGCGCATTCAAGAGCACATTTGTATCTGTATAGATATCCGTATCCTTATCCGTATCCATATCTCGTGACGTGCGGTCGTGGTGTCGAATATTGACTGCTTCCTCAGACGACACAGTCAGTCCGAAGGCTGCTACGAACTGTATATAGAGACTGCATCGATGGGCGTACGTGCTGGATGGATTCAGTGGACGCTACATAAATCCCTGTAAAAGTCCGTGGTGTCTCCGTGTCTCCATTTCATCGATAGTGGAGGGGTTGAGATGAATGGGATGAGATGAGCGTGTGGGGGGAATGGAAAATGGCAGTTTCTTGGCGGTCGCGTGGTGGCAGGAGCTATGGAGCTATGACCCACGACGCCTGCACATGCATGCACGAGGCCCGCACCCCGCCCATCGTGGACCCATAGAGACCTCAACACCACCCCAGCCTCTCCACTTCGCGTCATTGCTGTGACTGCTCTGTTGCCGTTGCCTCGTCTGCGACTCAACGAGCCTATGCACACGGCTCCACCAGTGCAGCCATGGCCCGCTATAATCCCTTCTCCTTCACGCCCGCGCCCGTCATCTTCTTCACCACCGCCATCTACGTCGGTCTGTTAGCTGCTCTGCTCACCACCCATCTGACCGTCCCGGACTATCCCTCGCATCCTCCTCCAGGTATCAACCTTACCCAAGCCTGGGCAGACCTCCAGCACATCACCCGCTTCTTTCACCCGTACAATAGCCATGCTAATGATGACGTGCATCAATACCTTCTCTCGCGCATCCAGGCCATCATCGCCGAAAAGGATGTCCAGCCCGACCAGATTGAAGTGCTCAATGATTTAACCGCAAATGTCACGTTCTCGTCCGGTACCACTTCTGTTTATTTTGAAGGAACCAATCTGATCGTCGCCATCCGTGGCTCCCAGGACGATGAACCCTTCAACTCCACTGAGCGCAGACCAGACAATGGCGGGGTTCTTGTCAATGCACACTATGACTCTGTGAGCTCCGGCTACGGGGCGACTGACGATGGCGTCGGTGTTGTAACGGTACTCCAGCTCCTCTCGTACTTCACTGAATCCCGCAACTGGCCCAAACGGACGATACTTCTTTTGCTCAACAATGGCGAAGAAGACTACCTGAATGGTGCCAAGGCTTTCATGAGAAATCCCATATCCCAAGTCCCCCATACTTTTGTCAACTTGGAGGGTGTTGGTGCTGGTGGCCGAGCTGCCCTCTTTAGGAGCACCGATACTGAAGTAACGCGCTTCTATAGAAAGTCGAAATATCCTTATGGAACAGTTGTGAGTGGCGATGGCTTCAAAAAAGGCCTTGTTCGCAGTGAGACCGACTATCGCGTCTTCCATGGCGATCTTGGTCTCCGCGGGCTTGACATTGCTTTCCTGGAGCCCAGAGCACGGTACCATACAATCGAAGATTCGGCACGAGAAACATCCATAAAGTCGATTTGGCACATGTTGTCAGCAGCTTTGGCTTCGACTACCGGACTGGCCTCTGTAACTGGTACTCAGTTCAGTGGCCCGGAGACTGTCGACAATGGCAGAGTCAATGCAGGCACTGGCAGCGACGGCGTCTGGTTCGATCTTTTTGGCAAAGTCTTTGTTGTGTTCCGGCTACACACTTTGTTCGCGTTATGTGTCACTATGTTGGTAGTCGCGCCTCTTGTCCTCATTGGCCTTACTGTGGGACTTTCACGACTTGATAAGAATTACTTGTTTGCTCGCAAGGCATATGTCTACTCATCGGATGATGACCATCCAGTACACCTTTACGGCTGGCGAGGCTTCTTCCGATTCCCCATCATCTTCGTCGCTGCCACAGCCATCGTCGTCGCTCTGGCTTATCTCATCGTTCGATTCAATGCCATGATCATCTACAGCAGCCCCTATGCTGTCTGGAGGTAAGTCAACTGGAACGCCTGCCAGCACCATCGCTGACCCTAGTAACAGTATGATGCTCTCTGCTTGGTTCACAGTCGCCTGGTTCTTGTCCCGTGGCGCAGACGCCATGCGACCCTCTGCTCTTCTACGCATGTACGCATTGATATGGTTATTCATCGGGTCCTTCATCCTCCTTATCGTGGTCACCGTCTTCGTTAACAATTACCAACTTGCAGGCGGCTACCCGATGCTCTTCTACTTTGCCGCCGTATTCGTCGCCATCCTACTATCGTATCTAGAGCTCTTCTTCGCACCGACAAAGTCCGCGTACGCACGTCACATCGATCAAGTGAATCACTTGCGTCAGGATTCAGAATCCACCAGTCGCCCTGTCACGGGTAGTACCAGCGCATCACGCTCCGACGAGCGTGCGATACCAGATGATGACGCGACCGAAACTACATCTCTGTTGCGTGGCAATCGCCGCGGATTTGCAAGATACGGAACCAGGCGAGACTCCACCAGCGACGGAAGCGACGATCATGCACGGCGAATGGATCCCGGGACTGTTTATCCTGGGGAGCAGGAGTGGAGCGGCAAATTACCGAGCTGGATCTGGATCATCCAACTGCTGCTCTTGGCGCCCATTGTCATCATCTTAGTCGGACAGGTGGCTCTTCTTCTGACATCGGCTCTCTACCAGACGCCGTCAGATGGCAACTCATCACTGTTCATATACCTCGCTATTGCGTCGCTCAGCGTCCTGTTGCTGACGCCCATCGGCCCTTTCATTCACCGTTTCACTTACCATGTCCCGACCTTTCTATTCCTCGTCTGTGTTGGGACCGTCATTTACAATCTGGTGGCATTCCCCTTCAGCAGGGATCATCGCTTGAAGGTCTACTTTGTTCAGCGAGTCAACTGTGAGACAGGTGTCAATACCGTATCCCTGACTGGTGTGGATGGCTACGTGCAGCGCATTGTCAGCGAAATACCCAGTGCGCAAGGCACGCAGGTCAGTTGCATGACGCCTGACGTTGCGACACGTAAGGAGCTCAAGACATGCGAATGGCAGGGTCTACCGGCCAAAGTAGTCTCAGCCACAGCTACAGCCCGAACAACTCTATCGGACCATAAGCCTGCAACTGACAAATGGATCGATTACACGATTTTCAACAACAACAGCTCCAACTCAGCAACAATACGTGTCATCGGCCAAAACACGCGAGCATGCCGGATTCTGTTCGACTCCCCCGTTACCGACCTAGCCGTTGCTGGCGCCGTTTCAGATCCCCGCTTTAAGCCTGTTGGCGCAGCGGGATCCCGGGAAGTGCGCCTCTGGCATCGCGAATTCGGTCAGCCCTGGAACGTAAGCGTGAAATGGAACGCCGAAGAACAATCCAAGCTTTCTGGAAGGGTTATGTGTCTGTGGTCGGATGCCAACGCCGGTGACATCCCTGCTTTTGATGAGGTACAGCATTACCTCCCTGTATGGGCGATACCGTCGAAGATTAGCGACGGCTTGGTCGAGGGTTTCAAGCGGTTCGAATTTTGAGTATTAAGTACTCTGCTCTGGGTGCTGCTGCGGGGATCCCTGTCGCATTGTCCATCACTGATCTGAAGACACTGTGTTTGGATGCATCCCTCCAAGGTGTCGCGGGTCAACTGTTTTGTTATGCGCATCTTCTATGAACTCATTAACGCTCCATCTTATGTGTTCTCTTTACATTTCTGTCTTTTTTGTTGGCTAGATATTCCTCCATGATTAGGCGGCCTTCTCTCCCTATTCTTTCATCGCATTGCATCTTGGCCAGTTGTATACATAACAAATACCACGAATTTAACTCTAAACGCCTAAAATTGAACACGGCCCTGATCCTGGGTCGCTCTCAGCCCGGTTTACCAATCCAAACGGTTCTTTTCCAGCCTTATGCCCACCTGACCGGGTCTGGCTTGTACCAGTATGACAACAGTCTGCAAAGTGGCCCGAAGCCATGCACAATGCTACCCGCTGCTGATCGCCGCCGGGTCGGTACTCGTCATGCTTGCTGGCTTTCTTTTGTTTGGTGGCTGGACTACTTTATTGCCCACAGAGCCATTTCTTCCAAGATCTTCATCAACGCTGACATTTAACCCGAACTCTACGGCCACACCCCCCATCTGCATCGCGTGCGATCCTCTGGTATATGATCCACCAGCATCGAGGCCAGGTATGTACATAAGGTCAACTTGCTATTTCTGTGCATCGCTTGTATTTTTATTGACAGCACGCTAATCCTTAGTGTAGTCGACAAGCCGTTAACGGTTATAATCTACCGATTGATCGCCTCCACACGCAACGCACTTCAAGCAAACGCATCTAAATTAGGAGAAGGGCTTCTTTCTGGAGGGCGCCTTGGAGCACTTGACTTTGCTTTTGATCTGCCCTTTTGGACGGTGATCGTCGCGGTTCTGCTTACTGCGTCCATCTTACTCATCGAGGATTCGCCAAGTCCGTGGGCGAGTAGATATCAAACATCCCTCGTAAACGTTTTGCAATTTCTGGTCGTCCTTTTTTGCGCCAGCCACAAGTTTGAAGGCCGCCATTCACTGGTCTTAGTTTTTGTCATGGTTGCGTTTGACCTGTTTCAGCACGCGGTCGGCTGTACGCCGTTCGACGCTATCGTTGGCGGCGAATCACATCATTCACCCCAGCAAACATCGCCTTCTGAAACCCCAGATATCGAGACCCGCACAACATCTGCCAACGCAAGTGCCGCAATCACCGGAACCAGAAACCTCATACCCGCCTTAGCGCAAAGGTCAAGCACACCCGACACAAGCTTAATAACTTTTGACGCCAAAGATAGAGAAATTGTTCGATTGCAACGCTCCCTTACGGAATTAAAGACTGCCCACAAAGCCACCGAAACCCAGCTCCGCATTTCGAAGGAGGAACTCTTTAATGCGCGCGAGACGCTCAATGGGACATTTGCCGAATATGCCAACCTACGCGAGGAATTGAAGATCGTCAAGCAGAATCTAGGACGAGACCACCAAGCCATTGTATACCGCAAAGACATTGAACTCTTTGCACTTCGCAAGGGCAACGAGCAAAAGGACGCGTGTATCAAGGAGCGTGACGCCAGATTAGAAGAGATGGCTCGGCAACACAAGGCCACAATAGAGGTTAAGGACGCCCAGTTGAGGCTGATGAAGGAGCGAATCATCTCAATAGAACGACAGGCGGAACTGGGACATTCCGATGAAGCGGATGAAGGCGACCATGCGCTCGAGGTCCGATTGTTGCGAGTTCGGAAGGGTCGAGATTCGAAAGGCGGAGAGGAAGACAAGGACCTCATCATCGCCAAACTCCAAGAACAACTAGCTGCCATTGCGAAACCCAACGAGTATGTTGTCAATCATCAGGCCGAGTTATCAAGGGCGTGGGATGTGGCGAAGAAGACAAAGAAGGCTCTCAAGGAGGAGCGCGAAAGACATGTTCAAACACAGGAAAAGCTAGAGGAGGTGACTATCAAGCTTGCAGAAGCAGACTCACAATCTGAAAGCCGAGGGAGCCCTCTACCCGGTCGCTTGCCCACGATCAACGAGAACGATCACGACAAGAATGAGCTTGAAGCCATGTTCGATACCACCCAAGAAGAAAACCTTCGACTTTATGCGGAAGTGACGGCCCTTGAAAAGCGGCTAGCCGATGCAAACGCACGAATGTTTGCTGCCGTACGAGAATCTGAAGCGTTCCGAGAGCAGTACAAATCGGAGCAACCCGTCAATGAAGATACGAAGACTGTGCGCCCAAGTCTGGTCCACCACGTACATTTCCAACGCATGGAAGATCAATTGGACGAACTTCGACGCACGCTCAAGATCAAAGAAGAAGAAGCGAAGAAGTTCAGGAAAACCATCGCGGACAAGGACCAGCACATCAAGGAGATACAAGGAGAGCTAGATGCTGCCGCTAGCTTCCACACTCAAGACCAAGATGAGATTGAGCGTCTGAAGCAGTCCATCGCTGAGCTCCAAGCTACCAAATACCAACTCATGCTTGACCGTGAGCGACTTGTAACGCATCGTCCACGCCAACGGGTGCTGTCTGCGGAGCGCACTGAACGCACATCCGCCCGCTCTAGTGGCGCAACCCTGATTCAGGAAATGAGCCCGCCATCAACAACACCCTCAGAAGAAAATACCTCTACCCCAGTACCCCAAGAAGTCGAAGTCCAAGAACGTGAGGGAAGCATTCAACAGACACCAGTGCGACATGTCCGGGGCAAGCGTTCGGTAAAAAGCATCAACACCCGCTGGAACCTGATGTCGCAAGACCTGCCACCCCCTGAGCTCCGAGCCGCAAAAGGCACACGCAGTAAAAGCGCAAGCTTCAAAGACGTAATGCAAAAAATGGTAGGATCCAAAACCCAAGACTCGGTCATCCGTCGTGTCCTCGTCCCAAAAGACAAGAACGCTACCCCCCGCCCTTCAACTTCTGCTTCCATCAAACCGTCGAAGCCCATTGAACGGTCTTCGACAACTCCACCCGCTACCTCGCCCGTTCCTCAGAACTTGGGCGTTGCCGCCAAGCCAAAACGAGCAAGTCTGACACAGCAACAACGGTACTACGCCGCGCACGATGCGACGATTATGGAAATCCCAGCCGCGTCGGTAAGGCCGTATACCGCGAACGAGGCTGAAGGTCAGAGGCCGAAGAGTAGGTATAGTTGGGGTGCTACGTAAGTTTCCCGTATCCTATCGGATCCCATGCGAGCTTTGTTTTACTAACGGTTCGGTAGAAGGAAATTGAAGCGACGGTCGCTTATGTGATTGGGGTGATGCATTGCATGAATATTCGATTGCTGTTTTTTTTTGGCTTTTTTTGTGATGACGGTTTCATACGTGGGTTTGCTGATATAAAGGGGTTATGAGGTTATGGGCTCTTTCACGTTACATGATTGGTCTTTTTCTGACTGTTGGGTAAGGGATGTTGGGGGGGGGGTGAGGGCGTAATATTAGACTGGGCTGGATGGAAAAGGGTATTTATGTGCATGTTTTTCCTTCGTCGATCCTTGCATTAGGGGGTTGCGGTTGATTGGGGGTCTGAGGCTAGGGTGGTATTCGCGTTATAGACTTAACTTGGCGGATATGGTTAGGTTGCGCGGAATTTATTCCCACCGCGGTTTTTGTACCCTGGCAAGAGTGAGATGACATGCTGTCAATACAATCCGCATATCCTCAATCCTCTTTTTTGATCTTGGCACTCTACGTGCATGATAGGAGAGTAGCTCGATGTCCGATACTAGTGGCTACAATACTCAGATGACAAGAGGATTGCTTGGTGCATCACAAGGTCTGTTCCTGTTCGTTGCCACTAAGCGGACATATATCATTAAGTCCACAAGAAAACATATCGAATTGTCTGATTCGCTTTGATCCTTAGCACAGGATGAGTCGGGTAAAGACATTGTAGCCTAGAAAGGTATGCTTGTATGTCAGTGTGAATGTGTGCCGCTGAGATTAGCCTGTAACAAATTGTATCAGACACATCGGATAGCACGGAATTATCATAATTTAAGCGGCGGTGTGTGAGAAGGATACAGCCAGTGTTGTAGGACTTGGCAGGGCTTCACGTTATCAAGAGATTGGTCCAGCGCATTCCGATAAGGCGATGACGTTGGCCGGAACAACTCGAGACGTCTGACATGTGAATGATAAGTCACAAGTCCAGCCCACAATCCCCACCGATGGCATGCGGCCAGTGTTCCAACAAGAGAGCAAAACTTCATCTTCCATCTGTCCGGACCAGTAGGGGCTTCTCGTAGACGAGAAAAGGAGTCATTGTTGACCCGCACCGGCCAACAGATACCGTAGAATAATTTTCTAGCAAGAAAAACACAGTTTGGCCGATTGTCAAGTCTGGGCTATGACGAGGCTCAACATGGGCCCTGAAAATCTCAGCCGCGCTAGCGGCTAACAGTGGGGCTTTGACCGCGTTATCGTCACCCCACTAGGCGGATGAGGCGAGGGTGGCGCGTCGTCTGAAGGTCATTCGACGCCCATTCTCGAAACATAGGCCGGGACAAGTCGGGATGTGGATTGTCTTGTTACGATTTCTGCTCGCCAAGTTGATGATTTCATACAGCTGGAAGCAGTGCGATGTAATGATGAAGGACTTGGCCACGGAGGGGGTTTAATACATAAGAGGTGGAAAGCCTGCTCACTCTGGAAAGCATCATTCCAATCCACACTTTACTTCAAACAACAACTTCATATACACGCTCTACTCAACACGGTCATATCGATCTACAACGCTACTTTTATTACTACTCTCAAAATGAACGCCTTCAGAGGTATGTCCACCTTGCCTCCACCCCACAAATTGGACTCTATGCTAACTATGTAACCAGACTCTGTATCTTCCACTCCAGCCGCCGCATCGGGCGTACCGACTCCAGCTTCAGCCACCTCTCCCACTTCTACCCGCGACACTCTGCACGCTGTCTCGGCCACTCTGGGCCTTACATCTCAAGGACTGGATCTCTGCCCTCACTGCTTCCGCGAGCTGTCTCATTGCAACGAGAGGTTCTCTTTCGTCTAATCGCACGAAGAACCCGATTTTGGCACGCTGGACGTCTAAACTTTCGTTCGGCACTGTACTATACCACGAGAACCCTTTTCTCCGCCATGGCGATCAAGTTATTGGCATAAAGGGGCTACGAGTCTTTTTGTTGTTTGGGTTCCCTACTTTCTTTCTGGAACGGCGATGCATAATGGGAAAGCAAAACATGGGTGGCGTTTGATGGTGGGCTGATAAACTGGCAGTCCGGCATTTTCATACCCCACGTTTTGGTCGGATTGGCGTCGGTAACACGTGTATTTCTGCATCGCATCTCAATTGGGATTTAAGATCTCGGCAATCTACTCCGTTTTTCTTTCAAGTTTACGCATTTGCAGCGACTATTGATCGATGATGTTCTTATAGGCACGATACACTAAACTGATAGGAAGCAGCGTATGACAAAACTTAATCAGTACGGCATCAACGATTAAGAAAGACACAGCGACACATCTGTTTTCAAACAAGACTTGCCCTGGTAGCTCTGGACCTTTTTCTATCTGGACTCTGATGGGCGAATACGCTCGCCGCGGAGATGTTAGGGTGGCAATTCAATATCCCTACGTCACGAAGGATTTCCACAACGAACAGTTCCACACAGGCGTCTATTGAACAGCTACACTTATACAACAAATACATATCCAATCCGTCGTACAGTATCTGCTCTTTGACCTCGATGCGTGATGTACTGTCCTATCTGCCTCATGCAAAGAGTCGGTGTGGGGAACGGACATGCACCACGTAGATCCCGCCGATAACCGGAGAGAATTCCCGCCGTTGGCCTAGTAGCACCTGCTCTATCCAACTCAAGAACTTTTCCCAACCATCTCGTCTCTCCTCCAACCAGTTTGGCCAAACTCCCAATATGACCGCGACACAGGAGCCGAGCAATGCCTCGGCCGCAGGAGAGACGACGCCTCTTTTGCAACGCGAGGAGACCAAAGAAAGCGACAGCGGCAAGAAACACGGTGTCTCGGTTTTATTCCGCGCGCTGCTTTGTGCATTCCTCGTGTCGTTGACCTTTGGCATTACCCAAGTCCCCATCCTCTATGCCTTTCGCATGATGACCTGCGATGCATACTACGAGCATCACACCCCCGACCCCAATGCCGACGACATATGCGCAAGACGCGAGATTGAGGCTGGAGCAGCGCGATCGTTTGCGCTGCTCGCCTCCTCCACTACGATATTCGGGCTTGTTAATCTGCTGGTTGCAGGCTGGACGATTAAAAGATTAGGCGTGAAGCTTGCTCTCATTATCCAGATCTTCTGGCCTGCTGTTCGCTTGCTTGTTCAGAACATTGGCATCATGCACGGCAGCAGCGCTGGCATCATGATTGTTCAGGCCTCGCAAATCATCACAGTCGTTGGAGGCCCCAATGGCTATGTTCTCTGTCTCAACTCCCTAGTCGCTGACGTGGTTGGGCACGAGGCTCGTACGGGTGCCCTGGGCCGTCTCCAGGGTTGCATGTACTTTGGGAGCGCCATTGGCTTCCTTATCGGCGGCGTCGTAGGCGGCTATTTTGGTATCCTTGCCCCGTTCCGTATGACATTGGCATTGTTCTTGCTCTGCTGTGCCTATGTAGCAGTATCCCTGCCGGCCATGGGCCCGCCCCAAGAACCCAAAGACGCGACGCCTCGTCGAACCACGGGCATTGCGCGGTTCTTTGGACCCCTCCGAATCTTTGCGCCACAGAAATGGGAACTCCCCAACGGCCAAACTCGCATCCAAACCGGAGCATTGACACTCGGAATTGGTGTTTTCCTAGGTATCCTCGCGACAGGCTACATTCCGGTGCTGCTCCAGATGTATGTAACTGCTGAATTCAGCTTCGGCACCAAAGAGAATGGAGCCTTGATCTTTCTATACTCGTCGCTAAGGGGCGGCTTCTTGTCCCTAGTATTTCCTCGCATTATCGCCGCGGGACAGAAACGGCTCGGTGATGTCAGCAACCAAAAGGTGACAGAGGTGGAAGAAAGAGAACCGCTAATCCAGGTCCAAATTATACCACCAACACCTGCCGTTACCGAGATCGTCGATCCTCTGGAGAATGAGGAGCCACCCAATCCTGAACCGACCAACAAACAAGAGACATATACATTTGACTTGTTCTACGCGCGCTTCAGCCTCCTGCTCGATGGCATACTGACAGGCCTCGCCATGTTCGTGTCTCAAGGATGGCAAATGTATCTTGTTGCTGTACTTCTGCCATTTTCGGCAGGAACAGGCGCTGCATCAAAGGGAACAATCCTTCAAATGCTTCCGGAAAGTGATCGCGTGGACGCCTTGAGTGGCATCACGCTCGTGGAGAATATTGCGCGACTTTCCACAACTGCCGTCTTTGGGCTGGCTTTTGCAGCACTCGCAGAAATTGGGAAGAGCTATCTCACGTTTGTCTGCAATGCTGCCGTTGCGTTTCTTGGATTTCTCGTTTTGCTCTTCTCGCGCTTCCCGCCAAAGGGCAGCCGTCGTGTAGAATGTTGATCGAGATACCTGTCGCAGTTGTACTTTGCGCCTACTCCAATAATGCAAATGCTCTTCAACATATCCAACGTTAACCAATTGATGTTCATTTCTGACGCGAATCTGATACTGCGCCGCATAATCCTCATCGCGCTCTTTAGGCCTCCAGCCACATGACGTACGCTAACAACATGTAAGTATGGACGAGGCTTGCCGAGCTTTTGTGGCTTGCACCCGCAACGGGAACATGGCCCGCGATGCCTTGTTATCTGGTTATCTCAAGATCAGGTTTAATGCCAGGAGCCCCCAATCCCTAACTGTACTTTAGGCTCCCATCTCCCATTACTTCGCCTTCGTTCTGGGATGCTGAGGCGTCATTGATTAACAGCAACAACAACATGTTTGCCATCGTGCCCAAACATTTCGTCGCACTGCTCCTCGCTAGGGTAGTAGGCGCAGACTACAATCTCACTTACTTGGACGTATTCTGGATTGCAGTCCCGACAATCACATTGGTGTCATCCAACAGCATAGCGACAACTTATACGTACCAATGTGACGCAACAACTACCACTACCACCCCTACTCCGACCTCAACCTCGTGCACTGGCCGTACGCACCAAACTTCACTTTGATTATCCGTTCTCACAACTCTGACACTAAAAGCATATTAGCACCGCCACAAACTTGGGTCATTCCGAGCGATTACACAGAACTCCCAGCCGACACTCCGACACACCCGGGTCCCTGCATCCCATTTACCATGTTCCAAGGCCCAGAAACTTATGGTTACCGCATTACAGACAAGAAAAAAGGCTACATCACTCTCGATGGCGATTGCAGCTGGACAGGCGTATTCACAGACGCACCTATCACGTGCGATGCCCAAGTAACCATCACAGAACAGACCCATACGTACTCAAGTGGCACACCAACAGTGTTTCAGCAGGATGACTTGAGGAGTCTGACGTGGGGTGGGGGGTTTGGATATGCTGTTGCGACTGTGGTGGAGAAGACGGGGGCGGCGGGTACGCCAAGTGAAGGAGGTGGAGGTCGTGTGGCACTTTCGGTGGGGGTTGTGATAATGGCCGGGGGTGCGTTTGTGGTTGGAGCGGTTGCTTGGACGCTTTGAAGCGTGGGAAGAGAGAGGATATACATAGTTAGTGAAATTTGTGCTGACGTCACATGATATACGCATACCAGAGGTTGACGGGTAATTTACAAATCACATAAGTACTCCTCGTTTGGTACTACACAACAGCGAGACTAGAAGCTTTTTGCGTGGCATTTATTTCATCTCCACTATCTTTCTAGGCTCAGATACTGACTATCAGCCTCATACTCAATATCCAAGACTGAATCAAAACACTGAAGGTTATGTTCGATAAGCAAAGTAGCACATCCCTAGTTCCGCCTTAGGATACAGCTAGTCAGCCTGTTCATCATACGCTTAGATTCATTTTTGCATGAATATCGTATTCCCGAGCAGTAAAGCCTTCAGTTACTACTTGACTTATTTTTGGCTCGAATTTCAATCGGAATAAACTTTGAACATCGACTGACAACAAGCAGGTCTGTCGTGCACGGGCTCTGCCATGGTACCGGGGCTTGGTAGGTAGATTCTATTATTGCCATACATCGCTATCAATTTATAATGATAGCCCATTGCCATCGACATGAGAGCAAAAGGGATCAGGAAAGGTCATTTTTCACGATGCGACGAAGAAACTGGGCTAAGTTAGTCGTCATGCGCAAATGAGGATGCTGCTGCATTTTTCATCCAACAGGCTGACGTGATCTGAGATTGGGAGATTTGCAGAATGGCCAGCTTGCTAGGAGAGACGATAGAATAGTCAAAGGGTCGGGGTTATGTGAGGTTGGGCCAGTACACAAGTCGGCGAAGGTTGCTGACTTCGGCGACTCTGCGGACGACACCAAGGCGGCTAGCGCAGGGCCATGCCACGAATGCTTCCCTCTGGCTCTTTCGGCGTCTTCGTTTTACGTTGCACTCTCAATCACGACATTTCGCTTCAGATACATAGCTCACAACCATAGGCTACGCTCCATATGCCCTCCCCGGCGCCCACACCACACGCCCGGCCAGCCCCACTCGCTTGTTTGGAGTGCCGTCGCTCCCATCTCAAGTGCGATGGCGGTAGACCCACATGCGAGCGCTGCAAGACTCGCAACTATGCTTGTACCTACAAGCGTTCCGGACGTGGGCGGCGACGTGGTGTTACGCGCTTGACGCCACCAGTTGATGAGCAGCAGCCTGTCGTGGCTGAACAGCCGCCCTACTCTTCATCCACAACACCACATCTTTTCCTCACTGCCAATGCGCCCACACTCAATGAGGCGCCCCCACGCTTCCAACCGCCATCTCTCGGTACCGGGAGTCCATCGGACCCGCTACTACTGCAAAGCGGGTCGCCCCCAGCCTGGTCCGATGATGAGCATCTGGTCGACCTCTACTATCTGAATTTCCACGCAGCCCATCCAATCCTCCTCCCAAGACACCTCTACTGGGAGCAGGCCTACCCTCAATCCCTCAAGGCAGTCGTTCACTACATCGGCAGCTGCTTTTCCTCATCAGCTCCAAGAACCGAGCTGCGTCAACGCGCTACGCGAGAACTTGGCGATGGGTGCCAGCCTACCCCCGAGACTGTGCAAGCAAAACTACTCTACTCAATAGCTCTCTTCGCCCAGAATGCCGCAGAGGAAGGCCAAATCCTGCTCGATTCCGCTATCCAAAATGCTTTGACCCTTGGCATGCACAATCGCGACTTTGCCGCAATGTATGCTGCGGGTTCAACAACCCTTGAAGAAAGTATGCGACGGACTTGGTACGAACTCTACGTTGTTGATGGCTGCGTTGCCGCATTGCAGCGCAAGTCAACTTTCGAGACCAACATGGCCAACGCAGATGTACTTTTACCATGCGAAAACTTCGTCTATGAGGGCGGAATGTGCTTCGTCCCGCCGACGCTAGCCGAGTTCCACAACAATGTCTTTGCAGAAGAAGAAAAGGTCTTCTCTTCTTTTTGCTATCGCATCGAAGCAACCCGTCTTCTCGGGCGAGTTTTGACAATTGCCGGAACACATGGCGTTCATAGGGACCTCGTTCAAGCAGTCGATAATTCCCTGGCTGCTTTCATCCACCATCTCCCACGTACTAAGAGTGAGAACCAAATCGCCAACACTTTTGGTGAGCTGGACGAGCTCATGTTTCAGGCACATACCATCATTCAGTGGGGAATCATTCTTTTGCACTATCCAAGAGGTGATCTCGTTACTCCCAATTCCCTCACACAAAATGTACCTGGCGCCGACTGCACAAAGCTCCTTTGCCCTTGCAATCGCCAACACGTACACTCAGTCAAAGCCGTCGAAGCTTCCAGAGCCATATCAATGCTAGCCGCCCTTCAAGCTCCTGCCCAGAAGCACAGCCCCCTTTTCGTGTATCCTCTTTCTCTGGCTACGGCAGTCCAGTTATCCATCAGTGCAGTGCATGCAAGGACTGTCGGGAATTGCATAGAACAACATTCTGATCGAGTAAAGTTACTGCTCGGTGTATGCAAGACATTGGGTCGACATTGGCCAGTGGCTGACAGCGTAATGTGCACACTGAAAAAGGTGGCAAGCGCAGTATTTCAAGCTCCATGCCACATGCCCTCGATTCCTCCGCACCATGTACATTCACCAGAAAACAATGTAACATCTCTTGCAAACATGCCGGTTGAAAGAAGTCAATTTGACGACATCGATTTACGCAACCTGTATGATCTCATGGGCATAGACAATTGCTCTGTGGACACGTAGTGCAGCTCCAGGATTACAAGAATTGGTAGTAATCTCACTATTAACGCATGAAACATATCGCCGAGCCATATTAGGACGAAAACGCCATTATAGAACTTTCAGGCCACTCGTTGAATGCTGCTCTATTCCTACATCCCTGGACAAAATGATACTACCATGCGTCGCATCGCATCTGGATCGGCAGAGACACCAAACGCTCGCCACCAGGTGTTGGCCGAGGTAGCCTTCCAGCTCGGATATTGACCTGCAACGAAGGGTCCAGCAGCTTTGGCGCAGCCAACCCCGCATCTCGCTCCCTTCTCAATGTGAGGAAGTCCTCCTCTGCTATGTCGATAGAAACATGTTTGTTTCTCTCCCGATGATCGCCAACCGTCATCCAAGGAACGGCTTCGCATCGCGCAGGACATGCCGGGTAGTCATGACCAGTCCAGATTTTGAAGTCTTCCGGTAGACTAAGCAATTTCTTTGCCGACGTGTACAGGTCCTTCGCACTGCCCCCGGGAAAGTCACACCGCGCTGTACCAATATCTGCATGGAAGATGGAATCGCCACAGAAGACGTTGTCTGCTCATCGATCAGCATGAATGTTCTCAAACCAGTTCCCCATCCGTCTACTTACTGGAGATTCGGTATCCCAAGTGGTCGGGAGTGTGTCCTGGAAGATGCATTACGTCTACTGTCAATTGCCCTACTGCAAACGACTCGTCATCCTCGAAAAGATGGTCAAACGCGTTTTCGTACTCGTCGGTTGAAATTCCGTATTTGGCAGCGAAAAACTTTTGAACTTGATGGATACGCTTCCCAATGCAAATCGGCGGCCTGGTCCCTTGTATTTGCAAAAGTCGGCTTTGAAGGTAAGAGGCAGCTGTGAGATGATCGGCATGTGCATGCGTCTCAAGAATCCTCTCAACTTGATACCCCTGGCGAAATACGATGGCAAGTAAATTGTCGGCCGTCGATGTGCTAACGGTTCTGGAGTTTGCGTCGTAGTCTAGGACAGCGTCGATGATGACGGCTTTGTTCGTAGACGGGTCGGCAACTATGTATTGCCATGTGCCTGTTTTCTCTTCGAAGCAACTGTGAATAGTAGGCTCATGAGAAGCTGCAGTCATGTCGTTGTAAATGGCTTGCTCTCCAGGTTTTGAGAATAGAAAGAATTGCTCTGTTGGAGTGGCTACGACGGACATGTTTCGAATCGTCGAAGTGACGGGCTTCGTCTTGCTGATTGAACAATTTGTTGCGAAAGGATGTTTGGAAAGAGCCTGTTGATGCAATAGGCGACAGTTGTGAGGTACAGCCCGGTGCTTGGGTATGCAATGTAATCGGTTCGAGAGCGGGCTGGTGAATAGAGTCTTGTTGTAGAATCGCAAAGTTTTCATCACTTGGATTGATTTCGGTTAGCAGATTGCGTATGATTTAGATGAGTCTTCTCAAAAACGTTTGGAGATGTCCCGTCTTATGAGCCTCAAGATGCCTCGATGATTGACCTTGAAGCAGGGTTCGGCGTTCCGCTCCCAAGTATAGACGCCGACCACCCGTGTTAGTCGCCGAAACAGGGTCTACATCGTTACGTACCTGGCTCGTGCCATCGCGCATTCATCTGCTGATTCAAACTTGACACGAAATAATAACAACTCGAAGCTGCTGAAAAATATGAACTCCCTGCTAACTTCTCCGTTCGATTATTCCTTTCCCTCGACGACTCTAAACCATCTAACATCACTTTCACGTGGTAGCATTCATTTCTTGGAACCAATAGTACAAAAATCTAAAAGTGCGCAGTAATTGATTGCAATGTATTGTTTACGAAGATCCAGAGGTTGGGAACCTCTCAGCAAAAGCGCATTTATTCGAAATCTTGCGACCGTTTCTCCCGCAGCCCCTGCAGCCAGGAACCACAAAATCGTCGTTGTTGGAAACGGCTCTGCTGGTGTTGCAGTCAGTCACCAGCTATTGCGAAAAGGCAGATTTTTAAAAGACGACATTGCAGTCATTGATCCGGCGAAATGGCATCATTACCAGCCTGGTTGGACACTTGTTGGCGGAGGCTTGAAAGACAAAAAAGCTCTCAGGACACTAATGAATGGCTTAGTGGAAGGGAAACTGAAATTCTACAACAAGAGCGTTGCGTCGTTCAGCCCGAAAAACAATTTATTGACACTAGAAAGTGGCGATATGATCCATTACGACCATCTTGTGGTTGCACCAGGCATCAAGATTGACTATGGCAGTGTCAACGGGTTGTCCGAAGCACTAAGCAACCCAAACAGTCCAGTCGCATCCATCTACAGCTACGATTACTGCGACAAGGTCTTTCAAAACATCCAAAGATTAAAATCAGGCTCTGCAATCTTCACCCAACCAGCCGGTGTGATCAAGTGCGCCGGCGCACCACAAAAGATCATGTGGCTCGCACTAGACAACTGGAGACGATCCGGCCTATACCAAAACGACCCCAAAAAATCCGCAATAAACGTCACTTTTGCGACCGGTCTCCCCAGCATGTTCGGTGTCCCAAAATACAGTGCCAAACTCGATGCTTTGCGCAAAGAACGCGGCGTCGAAGGCCTATTCGAACACGACCTCATCTCCATCTCCGGCAACACCGCAACATTCGCTCGTCCAAACGGCCAGGCCAACCTTCACCTCCCCTTCTCCTTCCTGCACGTCGCTCCGAAAAACGTCCCCCACGAGTTTGTCAAAGCGAGTCCGTTGAGCAACGAAACCGGATACGTAGATGTAGACCCGCACTCCCTCCGCCACAAAAAATACCCAAACATCTGGTCCCTTGGCGACGCCGCAAACCTGCCCACCTCCAAGACCGTCGCAGCGATAACATCGCAAGCTGTCGTCCTCACCCAGAATGTATTACTCAGTTTAGACGGCAAAGACCCAAGCGAAGAATACGACGGATACACATCGTGTCCGCTGCTGACGGGCGACAAAAAAGTGCTCTTAGCGGAATTCAGGTACGGGGGTGTGCCTAAGGAGACGTTCAATACTTGGTTTGGCATCGATCAAGCGGTGCCAAGACGCGCGTTTTATCATCTTAAGAAGGACTTTTTTCCGTGGGTATACGATCGGTTTCATGTCAAGGGACGGTGGGGTGGGCCAAAGGGGTGGATATGGTAGGTTGAGAGTGAGGAAGATGAAAGGCGATGTTGGAGCTTATTTTTTGCTTATAGTTTTAAGTGTAGCGTACGTTACGATAGATATCGATATATAGTTCATGCCTTTGGCCTATATACGAAGGTGAACTTGGTATACTCTATTATAGAACGCAATAATAAAACCATGCCTGAAGTGATTAGTAGCCTAGGTCGTACGATTGAACAAGAGTTTAGTACTACTGTCACATTTGTAAAAGCCGACGATGAACGAGCCTATGTATTCGTTCTATCTGACGGCCCTATTTACTAGAAGGCTACACGGGAATGATGTGTCACGAAATCAACTATCGAAACTAAGCTAATCGCGCATCGTCTGCAGGAACAGAAATGCTATGACGCTGGAGACTTATCAAAAATATCGAATTCGATCCCGAAAATGAGCAGGTACTATACTGCGATTACCAACAAAGAATACGACTGATCACAGCAGCTACGCCGCGGCTTAAGACATCGCTTAGGGTAGGGTGGCAAAGAGCGATGTCATTACTCTGCTTACGGCGACGAATTTGAGCACTATCGATATAGAGCCTTGAACGCATCCATTTGAGTGCATTGATTATAATACTAGTGACTGGACAGAAAATGATGAGCTAGAATTTCTCCAGAACACAAAACTCGGACTCGAAACCTATATTCAGCAAATGCCTACCTACCTGGCTAAACATTAGATTGGGGCACACGATGCCAAAGCGCGGGCACAAATCTATTCATTTGCTTTATCTAATAAGGCGATGCGCGATACTCATAGCCGTAGGTTGATACAATGTAACAAAAAGACTCAGAGATAATGCACATGGTGCGCGTTCTGGTGTGGTGGGAAGTGGGCAAGGTCAACGTTGTTATTTTTGGGAGCGGCGGTCGCCGCATCAGCAGCTACCGGAGGGGGGCTGACGATAGCGGCAGGGTTTGCACTTACTGGATGTTTAGTACTCGCAACGTTTACATATAGGGAATGTATCCAGAAGTGCATGGATTAAGGAACAGAGCTATTAAGAGTAACTGGCCTGTACTAGCACGTCCAACACTACGTACGCACTTCTTTGTCGGAGGTGAACACACTGAGCTTGACTTTGTACGATAGTATTGTCATATTTAATAAGTCTTCAATCACGTAGTGAAGAAGATGTACTTCAGCTTTAGCTGTGTATCATGGTTAGTCCCAGAGGAGTTTTTGTACATAAAGAAACACAATCTGATTAGCTCTAAGAAGCTCTGCGCTACTTCGTAGCGTACTGTGATGATATCGCGGCTCAGCTCCACCAGACCACCACGTAACTCAAAAAGGTACAGTACACTGCATAGCAGTATCTAGAGCTGAATAGTATATACGTATGACAGTGCGGTCAAGTAACGATTAGCACATATCATGCTAATATATCGAGTATATGTATCCAGCTACTGGAACAACAAGATAAGCTGCGCGCTAGGCCGGATTTGACGCACTCATTACAGACTTGATGCGGGGTAAGGAGCAATCCTCTGCTAAGACATTAGCTACCACTCTATTTTCGTGTCCATTTCTCACAATATAACTTAGCGGCAAGTATGACAAGCAATGCGTACTGGAGTCTTCGCAGGAAGTCTTCGCGCCGCAGATATGACGGGTCCACTCACACGTATCCGCCATTGTCTCCAGGACGGAGTTGTGAGATTTGCCTCCATCTTGAAAGGCTGTTTATGGAGGGTGACGTCAAGAAAGTGTTCCTAGCAGATGATGTATATGGGAGGAAATGCGCAGATCACGACCCATTGTTACACTGGATCAGAACAGATTATGAGAACCGTCAGGCCCTTAAATATCAGGCGAGAAGAATTCAAAGACATTACCACATGGACGGCCTTGTCCTACGTAGGAATGCCAATGGCATCCCTTGGGTGGGAGTTCTCGACTACAAAGGCCGTCAACGTAGAAGCTACCAGCTTCTTCTTCTTCAATCAAGCAATCATCCCACCCCCACAATCGATGTGCAAACATCCGCAATCTGGAGCGCAATCGATTCAGGGTGGGTCGATTTCAGTGTGGCGAAAAGATGGCTAGAAAAGTGTATTACGCAACACACTTTCGGATGTCAAAGTTCCTCTAACATAAGACACGTGTCTCCAGCTTGGCTGATCGACACTACGAGCCACTGCTTAGTGTCTGGAGAAGGTATCACCGACTTTGTAGCTTTGAGCTACCGATGGGGTCCATCAACACATCGATTCATGAACTCTGTTATCTTCAAGGAGCTAACAATCTCCGGTGGGCTTACCAAACACAGTGGACTTATAACACCCACTGTCAATGACGCCATGCAAGCTGTTCGCGCAATAGGCGAACGATATCTCTGGGTTGATGCACTATGTCTGGCGCCGGATGATGACCGCAAGTTGTCCGAGCAACTACAACTCATGGGCTCGATATATTCCTCTGCAAAGCTTACTATCATTGCGCTTGACGGTGACGCAATGGCCGGATTACCAGGCACCGGGGTGCTGCCGCGAAACTTACAGAACACTTTCGACTGGAAAGATAGTACCAAGATCTTGGCAAGGCATCTGCCCAGTTTATCAGCTTTGGAAGTTGACGCTTCAGAATACTTCCAGCGCGGATGGACATTTCAGGAATACAACCTATCTCGAAGACGACTCATTTTTGCCAATCAGCAAATTCATTGGCGATGTTCCTGTGCTCTTTGGCATGAGGACTGTCCAGATCTGGAAGATAATGACAGGTCGTTATTGGTCACAAAAACTCCCAACATCGAAGCCGGATGGCCGGACTTGCGCGAATTGAGAAATCTGATTACAGAGTATAATAATCGAGAATTCTCATTTGAAGAAGATGCCTTTCCGGGTATCACTGGCCTACTCGCGCACATTGGGGACGCCTTCAAAGCCGGGTTCTTGTTTGGACTCCCAAAACAGAATTTTGATGCAGCGTTGATGTGGGGTTGTTCCCTTGGGAGAGACAGCCTCAATGGAGCCCACTTCGACGGTGTTCGACGGAGGATTTCGTCTGGTAGAACCGGTTCTGTTTTACCAAATGCAGTTCTGCCATCGTGGTCATGGATCGGCTGGAAAGGCTATCCTATCGACATCTTTCGAGGAGAGACACAATATCTGATTAATGAATTATCCATTGGGGAATCAGAAACTGGGTATATCGGCTCATTTAAAGGAGATATCACTGTTCCAATAACGCAGTGGTTCAGTCAGAAAAGCCCCGATGCGAGTGACAAGGATATCGTCACGCCATGCTTGGAAAGTGATACCATTATTTCATCGGCTACAGTCACTGATTTCGACTCTGATGTTTGGAGACGTATCAGATACGTACCAAGCGAGCATGGGGCTGACAGTGGGAGGACCATTCTCTTGCCTTGGAGAGTTAGTGGTGAATATGTTTACGAACACATCCATTTCCCAGGGGTATTTCGTTGGTTTCCACTGCCATACTGCAGTCCAAAAGCAACAATTGAATCACAAAACACGCTCGAGCACCCTTACATCTCATGCAAAACGGAACGAGTATGGCTTGCAGCTGTTACGTCATATAGATTTCGACTCCCCATCCCGTTCGATGCACATCTGGATTTATATGACAAGCTTGGAAGAATTTGCGGCTGGCTCCAGCTACCGAACGACGACGAGGATTCTGGCTTCGAGGGCGCTGAACTTCCTGGAGATATAGATTCGCACATTGTTCCTTCAGCTACAAAAGGAATAATATTGAATCAGTTTCCAGCAGATGAAGATCTCATTGAGCTCGTCGCAATTTGCCTTCGCAAATCTCCTAAAATTGATTATGAAACAAAAACCGTCAATTATGATGATTCCTATGGAGTATTGTGGGTCAAATGGGTTGATGGTGTCGCATATAGATATGGATGTGGACACGTAAGAAAGGATATGTGGCATGAGCAGAATCCCCAGACTGTAGACTTAGTACTAGGTTAATGTATGTAAGTAAATAGCTCGCTCTGGCCTTCTAAGATACATCTTTGTCAGAGAAATTTATTGATTTACTAAAACGAAGTACAGCAGACAACAATCGGCTCTAACTCTATCTATCTACACTATGATGCCGCGCCTAGCGATACCTTCCAGGTCAACCAGGACAACTTACTCTGCCTGCAAAGCGTCCCGACCGAATTATACCATCACTGGAGCGGCATATCAAGAAGGCGGCTGGCAAGGTGCAATCTGTAGGAACCCTAGAACGCTAAAGACTCGTCCTAATTATTGCTCACAATCTGTAAGTTATTACCCTTTTCCATATCACCTAGTATTAATTTAGCTATAAAAATAGGTTACGTGTACTGGATTCCAAGGCATAAACACGTAATATGATGACAATTAAACAAAAGAACGACAGACAAAGCTGAAGAAAGGCAACGATAAGTTTTAATCGTGTTACTGTTACGATACTCTGAACTAGAGGCTGGCCCTCAGGGATCCTTCGGGCACTCCTTGGAATAGTACAGGCACGGTCACGTGTATAGAGTATATAGTCTCATCCGAACCTAAGGTGACTCCTTAAGGATTCGTCTCAATTCAGTCTAAATGATATCTTTTGTGGCTATCTGCAAAACGCCTCACAGTTAGCTGAGTTATATCACCTCTTAGCTAGCAAAGTTCGTAGATAGTATACTTATAAATATGCAATATTTATCACTCTATAGATCTTGAGGTACTGGTTTAGATATAGTATCTAGGGGTAAATAAACTAACAAGATTTACTTAGTTAGCCTAAGCTTTTTTTTTGCGAGGCGTGTGAAACCTGACTCTCTATTTCTAAGTACGTTGGTATTATCGCGCCGATTAAACAGCATTGCCCCGCGAATCCAATTGCAGCGGGCCCTTGTCAAGGATACGTACTCGTCTTATCGATAACGCCCCATACTTACCTGCCATCTCCGCACTGCGCCGCCGGTAAGACTCGGAACGCAACACACATAAACAACGACAACCACAAGCCCGCTTTCTGTTCTATCACCAATAATCAACCAACAAGGAACCATGGCAGACAACAAAGCCTGGCCCCCCGCAAACGGTCTAACCACCAAAGTCGTCCCGCGCGAAAAAGCAATCGTCGAACTGGCCTACTCAACCCCCGTGAACGCGCCCGCACACCTCGTCTTCGATACCCTTCTCCGCACCGCAAACTACCCCGCGTGGAACACATGGATACCAAGCGTCCGCATAATATCCCAACCTCCTCCCCGCAACACCACAGAAGAAGAAGAAGACTCGTCGCGCATGCGTGTAGGCACTGAAATGGAATTTAACGTCGTAATGGACGCCTCAAAACCAGATTCCATCACGCACTCACAACTCAAAGTCTCGGATATCTCAACGCCCGATGCGCCGTCTTCGTATCTTTCGGCGGAGGAACTGGCGGATCCGAGTTTCACGGCTGATCTGAGTAAGGTGTATCGGGTTGCGTGGATGAGTAATGGGGGGATGATGGGGTTTGCGCCGGTGATTGAGCGGGTTCACGAGGTTATTGTTACGGGGGAGGATACGTGTGAGGTGCGGAATTGGGAGTTGATGGGGGGCATGACGGCGAGGCTAGTGAAGATGTTTGTGTTGGAGACGTTGCAGGGGAAGGTGAGGCTTTGGCTGGATGATCTGAAGACGTATTGTGAGAAGGTTAGTGCGGAGGGGAAGGCGGGTGCTCAGCCTGGGAACTGAAACTTGGATGTGGTAGTTTGTACTACATTGTGCATGTGGAGTTGAGGGGCTTGATATCAGATTTGTTTTCTTCATCACATGCAGCCTCGTCTCGAGTCTGGCATGTCGGCAACTGGGATAATGGATGCCGATCCCCAGCGGGTCTCGCCGTTATTCTCTCCGATCCAAGATAAACCCTGCACGCTGGTGACATCACCGTCCTATCGCCATTGCCGACAAGGAAACAACATGCGCATGGGGAATTCAATGCGTAATGATGCAGCAGGTTGGCCGTTACTACGTCCCTAGAACAATTGCATAGCATTGTTTGCCTGGTAGAAAACAAAGGCTCACGTCGTTGTCAAGCACCTCAAAGCTACGTACGAAGCTTTCGCCAACCCCAAGCTTCGCGTCTCTTGTCCTTACCGGCCGGATTACCCAATCCGGTAATTGCGCATGTCCCTTTCAAACCATACTTGCAAAATTTCAAAGGAAAAAGCAGAGCTAACGGATGCAACCCAGTCACACGATCGGGCGCAAGCGCAGGGCCATGCGGGTGGGCATCGTAGCATCGCTGTGATCCAGTCAGCATGCGCGATGGTGCGGTTGGGGCCCCATGGGAGTGGAGAGCGTTCCCCGCCGTTTGAGTAAAAAGTGGGTTTGCGATGCGGATGGACTTGACTAGCATGGCTGCTTGTTTTCCTTCGGCAATGGTACCGATGAGATGAGGTACGTCGGATCCGCGCAGGATATATGGCTGCGTGGTATCCCACTGGTTTTTCTTCTTTTTGTTCCTGCGCGGACTCGATTCATACTGGGGCGATATACTCCCCCTTCCTTGGCTCAATCATGGATAAAATTCACCGGCTTAATGTTGTGCATCGCTATGAGAAGCGGAGTTTGCTTATAGCGTAAGTTCTGTTCTTCCCAGTATCACCTTGTATCTGCTAATCCGTGTCCCAAGGATCAATTGCATCGCTGGTCTTTCGATCCTGTTTTTTGGATATGACCAGGGTATGATGGGCGGCGTCAACACAGCATACGACTACTATACGCTCATGGGCTTTGGCCACAAAGGCCCTGATGGTGGCCCCGTGGTTGACGACACTCTCCTTCAAGGAGGCATCGTATCTGTGTATTATTTAGGGACACTGGTTGGGTGTCTAGTCGGAGGCTCGATCGGCGATCGCTTCGGGCGCATAAAGACCATATTCATTGGAGCTGCTATTGGAACAGTTGGCGCTGCATTGCAGTGCTCCGCTATGAATCACGTTTGGATGATTTGCGCGCGTCTGGTTAACGGCTGGGGAACCGGTATCCTGAACTCTATCATTCCTGTCTGGGCAACCGAAACAGCAGAGCACACATCCCGAGGTCAGTTCATTGCCATCGAGTTCACGCTGAATATCCTTGGTGTGGTCATTGCCTACTGGCTGGAATATGGCTGCTCATTCTACGGTGACGGTACATCGTCGTTCATCTGGCGCTTTCCCATCGCCTTCCAGATCCCTATGCTCCTCATCCTCATGGCTGCCGTCTTGTTCTTCCCTGAATCTCCTCGATGGCTGGTCAAGGTCGGACGAGAAGCCGAAGGACGTTACGTTTTGGCTCGTCTTCGAGGCGACACTGGAGAAGACAAGGTCAGGGCCGAAGCGGAATTCCAAGACATTGTTTCGTCGTGCGAACTCGAGCGCTCCAACTTCCGCAAGCAAAGCTACTTCCACATGCTATTCGGTATTGGCTCTGGAAAGCTACACACTGGCCGCCGCGTTCAGCTTGTTGTCTGGTTCCAGATTATGCAGGAGTGGATCGGTATTGCGGGTGTTACAGTGTACGCGCCCACAATCTTTGGAATTGCGGGTATGAGTCCAGAAAAGCGCCAGTGGATTGCTGGTCTCAACAATATCTTTTACATGTTTGCGACGCTCATCTGCGTCTTCACGCTGGACCGAATCGGACGACGCTGGACTTGCTACTGGGGCTCGGTAGGACAGGGAATCGCAATGGCACTTGCAGGCGGGTTCTCGTATCTCGGTCAAGAAGCGACAAAGAACGGCGAAGCGGGAAAAGCATCTTCGTATGGAAATGCGGCAGTGTCCATGGTCTTTCTCTTCACAGCCATATTCGGCGCCACATGGCTGACGGTTCCTTGGCTTTACCCCGCAGAGATCTTTCCGTTGGAGGTTCGAGCCAAGGGTAACGCGTGGGGTGTTGTTGGCTGGTCGATTGGCAATGGCTGGCTGACTCTGCTCTGCCCGGTCATGTTCAATGCTTTAGGCGAGAAGACGCTGTACATCTTCGCTGCATGCAACGCCATCACGATTCCCATGATTTGGGCACTGTACCCGGAAACGAATCAGCGCACGCTGGAAGAGATTGACCTTCTCTTTGCATCGGATAGCATCTGGAATTGGGAGGCGGAGAAGAACTTTGCGGCTCTGAAGGATCAACTGACATATGCGACGGCGCGGGCTTCAAAGGACGATATCGAGCAGCTTTCGCATCGGGGGTCGAGCGAGGTTCGGCGATCGAGTGTGCGTGGAGATATGAAGCTTTGAGTAGGTTGGTAGGAAACGGCTGTTTGGTTATCCGAGCAAGGAGTTCGGCCATGTGTGTTGGTGTGGAGATGGCTTACGTACTATGCATATCAAACGACAGCCCAAGCAGCACGATCAATCTGAAGATTTGCGCATCTCGTCATGATACGTTGTGTGACTTGAATTGTGCCAAGTGACTTGTTAATACGGTTCAGGGGCTGATGAGAGTATGGCATGGAAGTGAGAGTGGCAGGGTGTTGTGCCCATACGTCAGTTGTCCCACTGCTCCTGCCTGACCTGAATTCGCTACCGCAACCCGCACTCCATCTTGGTTCAGTTGAACACGTCTCCCCATAATCTTCCAATGTCCGACTTATTCAACTGATACATGCCAATCGCATCAACTTTGCATCCAATCATCTCCCAGACTCAATCACCTCGACGCTACAACGATGAAAAAGCTCTTGATACTGTTGGTTGCCATTATCTTTAGCTTTGATAAAATAAAAGAGAAGCAATACAACTGTATGCCGTGCCTATCCGCCACAAAAGACTGCATGCTGGTAGGTTCTTGTCCGGCCTTGAGTTAGGCTACAGCATTGGTCTCTTGATAGATGGTATGCTAATGGCCTCGCTTGCAATAGGTATGTGAAGGGGAACCTGATAGATGTTGGGCCCTATGCCAGGTCCGCACGTGCATGTACAACCCGCGCTGTCGGCACAAAGACTGCGAAATCAACATGCCCGAGTGTCGAAAGCAAATAGATGTGTTAGGCATGGACGAACACAACGACAAGGACGATTAACGAAGACTGTAAATTCTGCAACCCAAGCCACTAAAAGTGTTGTCACCAAACGTAGTAGTCAAAAAGGGCCAATCTGGGGATGATTGAGAATAGGAAGTGGTCATTTGGGTATTGGAGGGTTACATGAATGGCAGATGCATGCGAGGGCTGGTAGTCAATCATGGGCCACAAGATACATACTTAATAAGAGGATTGACGCTCGAAGCTATACGAAACACGGTCTTCATTTTTGACTCGAAGTTGCATGTGTTATGAGTGAATGAGTGAAAGGTGCTCCGGTGGCGGTTGAGCCATGACGACGTCAGAGTATGACTTTCACTCCTACCCGATTTGCTTTCTTGGCACCCGAGTCGCTCTGGCCTAGATTCTGCAGTCTGCAGTCCGTACCGTATATATATCCCCTCGCCTGCTGCTCCAATCTCTCCCCACCACTTGCGACAGCTACGAATACACATCCAAGTTACTCAACTCTTTGATCAAACTCCACTACGCTACTCAAACTTTCAACTTTCAAACAATTCAAACAACAAAATGAAGCTCTCTGCCATTTTCCTCGTCGTTCTTGCTTCGGTCGCCGCAGCTTCGGATAGTGAAGCCATGCCCAAGTCCTGCGATGATTGCAAGAAATATTTCGATGCATGCATGAAGGTGAGCATTAAACATGCAAAGCTCCCCCTTCTCCTTGGGCTCACTGACATACTGCGTAGAGCTGTTACTTTGGTGCCAACACCTGTCCTACCACTTGCGCCGTCGATACTTGCCGCGCCAGCTCCATCTGCAAGGAGCACTGCGACTTCAAGAAATGCTAAGGTAAGTGATGAAGTCACAATGATTTGGCTTTGAATTGAGACTAACAGTAGCATTTTGTAGTTTTCGACTCATTGTCTCTCCACATTCAGAACAGCCGCCTAGCAGATATGGATGGAACGTATACCGTGGACAAGTTCATGTGGATGACTGGCTGAATGGAGATTGGAGGTTGCCGGCTTACAGAGTTTACTGATGGATTTTGATGGAAGGTTGTTCACGACTGGTGAAAGGGGAGTAATACATGATGGATTCCTTTAGAAGGGAAATATAATCGATTTCATACAATGATACCTCTCTTCCTATGATCCTCTCATTGTTCCATCGATTGATGTTGATTTGCGACAACAAACATTAATGCCCCATTCTGCGCAATATGTAACTACGCCAGAGGATGTGTTTGCAACAAGGTTTTCTCACCGCACATGCTCACAAGCTCCACAATGGCCGTCACTCACCCCGGCTTATTCAAGCTTTTGCACTGACATAGTCCCTATCTTACTTGCCCGATTCTCGACTCAGTCATGAGAAACGGGTCTCTCTCACATACATGGCTGAACTCCAGATACAAGTTTCAAAAACACACGCCCATATACTCTCCTGTCCTGAGTTTAGGCACCCAATCCAGACGGCTAGTATTTGTTACCTGAACGCAAATCTGGTCCCCCACAACCGTTCATCTTGTGAAATCTAGGATACTTCTTGTATTACGGACATCCTCGATCATAGACTGTGCAAACATGCGTTTACCTTCCCCACCGCTATCGCATGCTCCCAACACTCACATGATTTTCTCTTTCACTGCAAATCCAGCTCCCACCCCCGCTCTCACACCGCAACTGTTGCCTGAACCTCCAGAGCCACCTTCACTCCGTCAGTCAACCCCTCCCGCACGTGCCCTCGCCCCCGAAGCAAGTGAGAGACCTCTCCCTCCACTCCAACCCCTTCCCATACTCTATAAACTGCCCCCACCACACCTCCAATCTCTCCTCAGCGCAAGCTTTACCAATCCTTTCAACCCAATCCAACACTCAAGATCTTCTCAACTTCAACCTTCTTACCACTTCAACTTCCAACTTCAACTTGATCAAAAATGAAGCTCAACACTATCTTCCTCGCTGCCATGGCCTCTTTCGTTCTCGCCGGCCCCCTCGCGGTCCCGGACGACGTCCCTGCCCTCATCGCCGAGCCTGAGCGCGCTCCCGTCAACACCGAGGCCACCGGCACTGAGGCCATCAACGCAGCTCCTGCCCGCGACTGCCGCCAGTGCGATGATTTCTACCGCAAGTGCATGGGCGTAAGTTTGCTTTCCTTTCCCACTTCCCCCAAGAAGATGATAAGATGCTAACGATTGAATGGTCTACTTGGTGCTGGTACGATCCCATGGCCTGCTCAAAGACTTGCAACCTCGATACTTGTCGCAAGTTTAACAAGGCTTGCACTCCCTGTGGCTACACTGATAGGTGCTAAACGCCAAACCGCGCATCTTCTCTGGTCTAGATGGGTGATTCAAGATGAGAGATGGGCGGACTATCATGATGGTGGGTTCTGACGGGGTATGATGGAGGAGGATGGGACATAGGGATGGAGATTCATGGTGCACACCTACTTTGAGAAGTGGTGCGATTTCAGAGAGAGACGTGGATCTGAGGAATACTTTTGCTGGGCTCGAGGGCGGCAGGTAGCTTAGGTCCATGAATGCATTTTCTCTTCTCTATGAGGTGATTTACTTTGATTCTCTGTGGTGCAGAGTGATATTGAGCTTATCAGTTATCAATTGATTTGACGACTTCAAAAGAAACGATGTGGCAGTAGGTTCGAGGTTGAAGTAAACTCTTACTAACAATAGCACAAGATGCTGTGGCGTTCAGCCATACCAGGTAGGGCATAGCGCCTTGCCTAATTCAACACCATCATCAATTCCGCTGCACTGTACTGCCTTGTTCCATTATCTTGCACTGTGTACTCAGTTTCCAAAAAAAAAGAATCCCAGCTCCTGTTTTTCAAGCAAAATTTCTGCAATATCATTTCGACGCAACACCGATTGCTACAATATGTGAACCAACACCTTCAGCATGATTCATTCTGTCATTGTGCAGGATATTACGTCGCAGACTCCAAATGGTCCATCGCTCCACTTTTGGTCTTACCGACGACTAGCGATGAAATAGTGCATAATTACACCGATTCCCTTGCCTCTCTTCCCAGCGTCGTGCAGATGATCACTTTGAGCTCAACTTTACATTGGCGTGTCCTACTGAGGTTACATTGTGCCGAGAGTCAAAGCGGAACATGTTATTGTCTAATTCGTGGATGATGTCTCGCACGTGGCATGAGCAAGGTATGTAAGCAGAGAGAAAGTTTACATTCTGATAATGATGGATTATTACAACAGTCAACTTAACAGATGACATATAGTGTTCTCCGCCAAGACAGGGACCCTGCAGAATGGAATAGCATGGACACCATTCTTTTTATAGCTATTTGCGGAGTGATCGCCAGCAGGGTTATGATATCTGGTAACCCTAGGTCCCGCGGTTTGGCTGTTCTCCACTGCAAGTCCACGCTTGTCCGACCCTGAACATTGTTAGAATATGAGTTTCTTGATGCGCATGTAGAAAGAAACATACTTGAGGCAAAACTTTTCCTGTATGGAGATGAGCTCATTTGTCGTTGCGTGTAGGCAGAAAATCGAGCATGGGTCCCCATTCTGCACACAACGGTCGATGAAGACCGAGCAACTCTGTTCAGAAGGTGGATTAGATGGATCAGGACCAGGTGCAGAAGCCACCCCCTGAGCAGATACAAGAGTCGCGGAGAGCGCGAGTATGGAGATGATGAAACGCATGGTTGAAGTGTGGTGAGTTTTGAAAGAGATGGAAGAACTGTGGTCGTGGGAATACCAAGAGTGGGAGGTCAAGAGGACTTTAAATGCACAGCGGAAATAATGTAAAAAGACATGCATCATACCACATCGTATAAGAGCTTACATCACGCAATCATAATCTATAATTAGCACATAAGAGCCAAGACGGTGCCGAGGGTTTGAACACGAGAACTTTGTTATGTCATTACTAGGCAATCTTACTTGCCCCGCACGGGCGACATGTCTACGGGCAGATGGTAAGATTACGAGTTGTTGTTAGTAACACAAAGTTCTGACAGTCAACCCAAATGATGTTTTTTCCCACTTCTGCTTGTCCAAATCCGTATCACCACCAAGAGACAGCAGAGTAGGAACAGTCAGACACTGAGAGACTGAACTCGCTCGTTGGATTGCGACGATACCCTCATCTCTAGCTGTCTAGTTGCAGGTCCCATCACTTGCTTTGTCAGAAGATTGCACCCAAAACTCCATGGAGACGACTTACCGTGAACAAGTTCCCGTCACATAAGTCTTAATACCGCGACAGTACTTTGTGCAGGTACGCAAATTTTCACTACATGGATCCACAACCATGCATTCAGCAGACGCCAGGGCCACGAAGAGGGTGATGATTGGAACAACAAAACGCATCTTGACGCGAAGTAGAACTATGACGAAGGTTGGACAGATTTGACAGATTGAACGGAACGAAGGAAGATTGGACAAGGAATGCTGGTACAGTAGTATACAAGAAAAACTATTTGGTGGATTTCCAATTCTTAAATATACTCACAAAAAAGGGCCCATGAAATTAAGCTTACATTAGAGCTTACTTTGAAGTAAGCAGTACGTGTTGAATATATTGATGCCCAAGTCGGCACTGGAAACATGCCGAAACCTGAAATTCAAGAAACGCTCGAGTCCGGTTAGCGGATAATGATTTTCCACACGGCACGGGCCAGAAAGAGACTTTGATGAGTCGCTCTGTCGAGCCTTGAGCATGACTGTACATGCCGCTCGGGCTTGGCAAAGACGGGATCATGAGGCGGTAAAGGTATACGCCGTCTTACATGGCTGATACACATGTTTGATCGGTGCTATAGTAAGATGTTTGTTTGTTATCGGTTAAGCTTATATTCCAGCACTATCATCCAAACACAACCTTTGCGAGAGGGAAATGGCACAATAAAAACCATGAACAACTTGATATCAGGTTGAGGAGCCGGTGATCAATGATGTGTTTTAGATTGTCGACATTTGTATACCTTTCGTGGTTATCTGATCTAGCTCAACCATTGGGATGAATGATCTATCTATCTGATCAAGAATTCATATTGCTATCTTGTCGGATTCTCGAATACAAAGGCTCGATTGCTCCAAGGCCATCTGCGGCGAAACAATCTCTCGCCATTTAGACGCATTTGAAACTTTTTCCGCTTCTAAGAATTACGGTCAGAAATACAGTCAAAATGCACGAGGGAAGAATAAGAAATGTACTTTTTGCATATACCAGTTTTCGTGTATACCTGCCCGGTCTCTTCGTTGATGCAGGTCTGGCTACAGCTTTGCCGTTCACCAATACAGTCGGTTGGGCCGGTGCACTCGGCAGATGCGAGGGCAGCATAGAGCGCGATGATGGAAATGATAAAACGCATGGTTGTCTGATACGGGAGAACAGGAAGTGGATGGATGTTAAGTTTAAATACATGGCCAATGTATACATGCTATGGTTGTAGGCCAGAATTATGTATGCGGGCCATTACGAATGGTGCAACATGGATTGGGGTAGGAAGTAAGCACTATACTCTACTACATACTGTAGTTTTATCAAGATTGCTGAAAACAGCTTAATATCTCTCTCTAATAAATTAAAACAAAGTGATCTACAGAAGACCCTGGTTATTATCTCCAGCGTCTCTATATACAAAGTCTTTGCTAGAAACCACAGGAGTAGATGCGATATTGTCTTCGAGCTTACTTGAGAAAAAGAGCAATCTCACAGTGACATACATTCCGCTGGCAGTACGATAAAGAGATATCCAGGCATGATATCAATGCACGTACTAAAACAGCTTTGAAACGCGAGAAGGGAAGTGCTCATATATTCTAGGTCAGCAATGTAACTAACAGGATATGGATAAAGTTTATACACAGTTTGCAGAGAGCACACGGGCGGTGGTGCTGACACCTACTTAATCACTGAAACGAGTGACGTCCACGTCAAAGGGGACTAGTGCAGGGTGACACGTGACAGACCCGCCTGGACTGCCACATGGCAAGCGCGCGCCGAAGCAGCCGAGGCCCCAAGGATGCGCGCGACAACGATGCCATGTCCACACCGTTACCGGCTCCGCATGTCATCGCATCATGCCCGCCGCCCATCCGCCGTCCACCGCTCAATATTGTCTACATTCTCTGCTGCTTTGGCCCGGCTAATTTATTCGTGCATGCGGTGCTCAGATACGCCCGTACAAGCTCCTGTTCCCGATCAATGCCACGCTCCCCACGTGTGGGGGCGCGCCGTTCACCCTAGCAATGTCAGACTCGGTTGGTATGTGCTTGCATCTGTCTCGCCTCAAGGTTTGGATATAGAAGTGTTGACATGGAGAAACACAGATCGAGTCTTTAGCCATGCGCTCAACACTGTCAACAAGATCCGTACTGGATCGCAGAAGCCGCCGTCGGCGATACGGCTGCGGCTGTATGGACTGTACAAGCAGGCCATGGGTACGTTGCGATCGAAACTCTAATAGTAACAACGACGATGACTAACACATTGCAGAGGGCGATGTCGATGGCATAATGGACTGTCCACGAGGGAACGATGACCAGAGCCAGCGAGCGCGAGAGAAGTGGTATGTTGGGCACGCGACATATGGCATTCTTCTTGGCCGATAATATCAGCGCATAACTAACAACACCCCAGGGATGCATGGAAACAGCAAAACGGTCTCTCGCGCACAGAGGCAAAGCGCCGCTACATCACCACCCTGATTGATACCATGCACAAGTATGCTTCGCCCTCCCCAGACTCGAGGGAACTCGTCGCCGAGTTGGAATTTGTCTGGGACCAAGTAAAGTCCAATGTGCCCTCGTCATCATCATCTTCGCCCTTGCGACACTCCGACCACATCCAGTCTGGTTACTCACAGCATGAGTTGGGTGAGAGTCGGCGCGCAGCCATGGAAATGAGCGCGCCCCTCAGACGGAACGACGAAACACCAACAAGAGAGGCAGTGCGAGATATGCCGCTACGAGTCAAATCGCCCATCTCACAATCCGAGGAAAATCTCGAAGAAGAGGAGGCGGAAATCGATCGCGGCGAAATATTCGTCGACGCCCCAGATTCGCAATACAATCCGACATCCTACCCAGACGAAAATCACGAAAACGACGATACCAACAACCTAGAAGACGCCGGCGTCCAAACCGACCTCCAGAACCTCATGCGCGCCGAACCCATCCCCATTCAGACGCCGACTCCCGCCCCAAAATCCAGAGGCATGGCTGTCCTCGGAAAACCAATACAAATGCCCATCCCGGGTTTCAGCAGCACCCCCGGTCCGAACAACGCAGCCAAGGAATCCGCTGCCGACCAGAAATGGCGCAAGCGCGTCGAGCAATCCCTCATGAAGATGACGGCCGAAGTAGCCGCGTTACGAGAACAGCTAGAAGCACGTCGCCTATTTGCGCATTCGGCTCACTACCGACTGTTCAGAGGCATTTGGCGATGGGTCTGGGCGTGCTTCAAGCACGTGGTTGTTGATGCGGTTGTTCTAGGCATAGTGTTGTTATGGATGCGGAGAAAGAAAGACAAGAGGCTTGAAAGTACGATTCGTGAGGTGCTGGGGGATGCGCTGGCAAAGTTGGGGAGAGGCGGGGCTAGGATACCGTTTCTGGGAGGCAGGAAAGAAGCGTGATATCGATAGACGACAACGAATGTTGTATGAGTATGTGTGAAGGAGCGAGATAGTCACGCGGATAGTCAGTTTACAGAGTAGCCCTACATAAGGGTGTCGATACATCGCTTTACAATACTACTAGTAATGACACACCGGCTTGTCCTTATCACCAACTAAACTCCCCAATCCCCCCATTCCAACACGACCACAACTCCACCCCTCCACTCTCCTCTCCCTCTCCCTCCACAAACTTCAACGACCGAATACTTTCCCACCCGCCCTTTCCCTTCTTCCCCACCTTCCCCTCGCACTTAATCTCCCTGACCATCTTGCCTGTATACAAGTTACTAACCCGAATCGCCGTCCCAGTCGCAAGATCCTGCGCTGCGGCCAACAACCCCAACCGCGGATGAACCGCGATATCCAAATCGAGTTCCTCGCGATTCGCATGTTCGAACACGAGAAGCGGAGTCGACACCGCCTTACGATTTCCATGCGTGTACTTCCTTCGTTTAGGGAAATTCTGGTGATGCTGGTTGTTGGATTTTGGTAGCTGGCGGGGAGATCGCAAATCGTATAGACAGAGCGAGTCTTCGAGACCGGAGCATACGAGGCGGGAAGCGTCGTCTGCGCGTTTGAGGTTGGAGATCGGGTACGGGTGCGATAGGATGTGGCTTGATCCCCCGGAGCGGGTGTCATAGAGGCGGATGGAGCCGTCGCGGGAGCCGAGGGCGAGGGTGGTGTAGGAGAGCCAGTCTAGGGCTAGGATGTCGGAGGAGAGGGGTTTGAGGGCGAGGGTTGAGTCCCAGGTTCCGCATTGGGAGCGGGTGAAGAGGAGGAGAGAGGAAGAGGCTGCGACGGCTAGATGCTCGGTTTGGGATGCTGCGATTGTGGTGGGGATGGTCGGGGGTGCGTTGAAGGATGTAGGTCGCGCGCTGGCGGTCCATATGGCAGTACAATCTCTAGGTGTAAATTTCTGGCCTACGTACTATAGGTTGAGAGAGGTCAGATATGATTTATGGCTTGATGACCAACTCGTGGAAATTGATGAGAGATAGGTTTGCATGTCTGATACACTTACTGGCTGGTCGCGCTCTGGGTCACTGAGCCACACTTCAGGAGGTCGATCAGAACCGTATGTCGTTACAGCCAGGGCGCCAGTAGCTGGAAGATAGGTCAAGGATGATGCTGTCGACGTAGTACGTGTCACTTCATCCCATGGGTGAAAAGCATATGGGCTGGCAAGTAATGGGTCGTAGTAATCGCTAGGATCTGTTTCCATGGCTGGTGGATCATCTTTTGTACGTATGCGCTGCATATTGACGCTATTGGATCCTTGAACTGCATATATTGTGCGAGAGACTGGGTCTCTGTCGAAAACCCGTATTGATGCATGGCAGGGTCGTCTACTAATGACCTGTTTGGGCCGAGTGTTGATTCCGAAAGCACAAACATCTGTCCAGAGATTGTTGAAATAATATGACCGCCGCTTAGAGCCAAGCTCTCTCTCGATGCTAGTCTGGATGATGCTGTTTGGGTTTCGTCTAACAACTCTTTCTTTCCGAATTTTACTAGATCGAGCAGCAGCGGCTTTTTGTATCTTCTCTTTGCGTTCCTCTTTTCTAATATTTTCAGCCGAGTACCTGAGGTCTAAGCCACGTGCTGCGTTCTGGCTCTGGATCTTGAAATATTTCTTCTTCTCTGGATCCCAGTAAAATCCTGGAATCAGCTGGCCGTTCATCCTGGGATTCTGGAATGGAAACAGGAAGGGGTTCCTGAGTCACAGTAGGGTTTACGGGTGTATGCTGAAGTGTCCGAGAAAGGTTGAGATAGTAAGATGCAGTACGTCTGCAGAAGTCGGAACGCGTACAGCCTGTGAACGTGATGATTGGCTGGAAAAGTGGCGACGGCAGTTTATTCAAACACGAGTCAGTAAGTATCCGGTAGTGCGCTATCGATAAGGACCTCCGAGGCATGACGCCACTGCTCCATCGAATTCACATCACTTTGAAATGCGCCTCTACATGCCGCCACCCTCCCTCATTCCCTTGCACTCCTATAACATTTGAAAACCCCTTAGCAGCGTATGTTTCGCCTCTCTTCTACGCTGCGACCTACACGGAAAACCCTTTCGTCGACCAAGTCCACTCTGAGAAATTTGTCAAATACGCCCGCACGACTAAACCAGGTCATGGCGCATTTGGATATTCCGCAGACGGAGAATGGCTCCTCTAGCGAGCTTCATACGCTGCATTCTATCCCAAAGTCTAATGTGTTCACCTCCAATCTTCCCGCGGATTCCGAATTTCCTACACCCAAGGCTTCTCACGATGCGCCCCGCGAGAAATTGGGACCGCGCATGGTCAAGGGAGCGTTGTATACATATGTGCGCCCTGATCCCGAAGGAGAGGCAGAATTACTAGCAGTCAGCCAACGTGCGCTTCAAGATATTGGTTTGAAGGAAGAGGAGGCCAAGACGGATGATTTCAAAGATGTTGTGGCGGGTAAGAAAATCCTGACATGGGATGAAAAAAACCCAGATGAAGGCATATACCCATGGGCTCAGTGCTACGGCGGCTACCAGTTCGGGCAATGGGCTGGCCAGCTTGGGGATGGACGTGCCATATCATTGTTCGAGTCCACTAACCCTGCGACGGGCACACGCTACGAGATACAACTCAAAGGTGCTGGCAGGACACCATACTCGCGTTTTGCTGACGGGCGAGCGGTTCTTCGCTCTTCCATTCGAGAGTTTGTCGTCTCCGAGTATTTGAATGCAATTGGGATCCCGAGTACAAGGGCTTTGTCCTTGACACTGAACAAGGGAAGTAAAATTATGCGCGAACGAATTGAGCCTGGTGCGATTGTTGCGCGATTTGCACAAAGTTGGATTCGTTTTGGAACCTTTGACCTGCAACGGATTCGTGGAGACCGTAAGACACTGCGAACGTTGGCAGATTACACTGCTGAGCATGTCTATGGCGGGTGGGATAAGCTGCCATCTAAGTTGCCTGTAGGTGATGCCAAAGAAGTCCACATGCAAACGCACGATGGCGTTGCAAAAGATGTGGTTGAAGGTGAGGGCGAAACAGCAGAAAATCGTTATGTTCGTTTGTACCGCGCCATCCTCCGCCGCAATGCGGAAACCGTCGCCAAATGGCAGGCATATGGCTTCATGAACGGCGTTCTCAACACCGACAACACATCTATCCTCGGCCTCTCCATCGACTTTGGCCCCTTTGCCTTCCTCGATACATTCGACCCGACATACACGCCGAACCACGACGACCACATGCTCCGCTACAGCTACCGTAACCAACCCACTATTATCTGGTGGAACCTGGTTCGCCTCGGCGAAGCCCTAGGTGAACTCTTCGGCGCAGGAAACTACGTCGACGACGAGACCTTTGTCGAAAAAGGTGTAACAGAAGAGCAAGCACCAGGCCTCGTCAAATGCGCCGAATCAGCAATCGACCGCGCAGGTGAAGAATACAAAGCTGTCTTCCTAGCAGAGTACCGCCGTCTAATGACGCTGCGCCTCGGTCTCAAGACGCAAAAGGAGTCAGACTTCGACGTTCTCATGTCTGAACTGCTGGATTGTCTTGAAGCTTACGAGTTGGATTTCCATCATGCGTTTAGGAGACTGGGCGATATTCGACTTGCGGATGTTGATGCGGAAGATAAGAGGATAGATGCTGCAGGTCGGTTTTTCCGCAGCGATGCCGCGCCCAGACGCGAGAGCGAGGGTAGAGAGAGGATTGCGAAGTGGCTTGATAAGTGGGCGGAACGCGTCAGGGAAGATTGGGGCGAGGGAAAAGATGAGGACAGGAAGGCGGCGATGGATGCTGTTAACCCAAAGGTATGATTGACTTCCCCCTTTCGTTCTCCAAGTTGGAACCGTCAAGCTAACTGGTTGATGTATAGTTTGTTCCCCGCTCTTGGATCCTGGATGAACTCATTGAGCGAGTCGAGAAGAAGCACGAACGCGATATCTTGCCGCAGGTTATGAAGTTGGTGCTCAATCCCTTCCAGGAAGAATGGAAGTGGAATTCAGACGAGGAAGAGAGATTTTGCGGAGATGTGCCAAAGTACAGGGGAATGATGCAATGTAGTTGTAGTTCCTAGACTTGAGACTCGATTTTTCTCAAGAGAGCCTCGATCATCTAATATCAATGGTATCAAACAAGTTTAAACAGTAAAAAGAATCTAGTCCACACCTCCAACCAGATACTCGCCCACCTCTACATTCACCGTCCGCCCCAACGCCCTCGCATACTCCCACCCAAAATTCACTCTCCACCTCGCCCCGGGCTCTAACGCATCATTCGTGCCTGCGCTTCCCGCGCGAACAAGCAAGCGCATACTCGTTAGCGTAGCAATCTGTGTGTACAAATCTGCCACTTGAGGCACCGTCCCATCGAGTAGTGCGCGGAAGATAGCTAGCAAGCGGTCTAGCGTGAACGGGCTGGGGGTCAAGAGGTGTCGACTAATTTTCCGATGCTTGGAACCGGTGCGTTTACCGGTGACGCTGAAAGAGGCGGCGGTAGGGGCGCGGCGCTTGTTCTTGCGCTTATCTGTATGTTTCATAAAGTAGGTTACATCTGTGCGGGGTGGGTTGTAGGAGGCGAGGTATGCGGCGATGAGGATGTGGGTTGTAAAGTAAGGGAGGGTGTGAGCGGTCATGTTTGCGAGTTTCTTTTTACTGGGCGTGGCGGGGGTTACGGTGTCGTTGGTTACAGGGTCAGCGGTGCTGGGGGCAACAACGATGCGATCCAGGACTGAATCTTCGAGTTGGAAGAGGTGGCGCCGGTTTACCATTAAGCGGGAGAAGTCGCGCGTGCCGAATTGGCCTGATATTATGGGCTCGACAAAAGGCCACCATAGGCGCATGGCACAATTTTTGAAGCTGACCAAGTCTCTGCCTGTGTGTTTGGCGAGAGAGTCGTATACGGCTTGTAGGAAGCGGCCCCAGAGCCATGCATCATCCTCAACAGCAAGATCTGGGGTATAGTCGGGAAACTGTTCGAGAGACGGTGGGTCGAGGAAGATTTTTGGCGGGCTTGCACCTAAGATGGCGATAAGGTCGGTGCGTGAGTAAGTTGGGAAATGGAGGAATAAGGTTGAGGAAGAGTGGAGGACGGAAGGCGCAAGTGGTAGGGTTGTTGAGAGGATAATGGAGAGATTGGGTATCTTTGAGAATTATTAGTAAAGCATCTTTCAAGTAGATACAGCCAGAGACATGCCGATTCTCCCAGTCGTCCCAGTGCAGCGATCAATGTTCCTCCCCCTTCACGCAGCTTGTCCATGGCATCTAGCACTAGGACAAATTTCCCTCTTCCCTCCAGTAGTTTTCCCATGTTCACACATAGCGCGCTTAGGTTCTCTGTTCGCGCATATGGTCTCCTATCCGTCTTCTCGTCGTGGAACTCGTCAAGAGCATCGAGAGTAGATGCGACGATGCGCTCGACAAGATGGCGCGTGGTGATGCATTCGCGGACGTTGATGATGACATGGCATAAGCGTGACAGGTGAAAGAAGGAGCGCAGGATGGATGATTTGCCCGTTGCTGTCAGGCCGTGTATGTTGAGCAAGGGTGGAGATGGGAGATGGGCCTGTTATTGATTATCAACACAATGAATGTATACTGAAGGCTAGAAGTGCGTCCTACACTATAGAGAGCGGCAAGATGCTGTATTTGGTGATGGCGACATTGGAACTCGGCATCCAGCTGCGTAATGATTTCGTCGGGCAACATTGTCGCGATGAGTGGTTGTTGAAGCCAAAGTGCCAGGGTGGGACGGGATGCCGCCGTCGCGCTACATCGACGCTAAACGCGACTGCACGTGCGCCGCGGATGGAATAGTCACGACGCCAAGCCTCTTACTATCTTCCTTGTAACATCTCCTTTGTACCAACAACTAACACCCTTTTTTGTCAAAATCTGCATCTGTCCAGGCACCACACACATGATTTTGCTCACCTGGCCATGTATGCAGTCATTTGACATGACGGCATGTGGCTTACCTATCCATGAGCATCACTGCCTACTGCCTCCAGCTGCGGGGGCGCAGCATCAGCCTGACGTCCTTCCTTGAATCCGTCCCTCATCTTCTGTCTCTGTAGAATACCTCTCAGCACATCTCTAAGCATATCTCTTAGTATTTCATGATTTTTTAGACTCCTATGGATACAGCTGCCAGCCTTATCGCAATTGCGACACTCTGCGAGAAACTCATCAAGTACATTAACGCCACCCGTGCGGCCAAGGATGACAGGCAACGCCTTCGCTCACAGATACGGGCATGCAGCCATATCATCCTTCAACTCAAAGACGAAGCCGAGGACTCTGAAAACTCTGAGGATAGCGAGGAATGGGCCAAGTCAATGCAGTTACTGTCCAGTCCACTCCATCGCCTTCATGAGGCTCTGAGCGTAGCAGCTCAGGCTCTTTCCCCTCGGGACAGCGCCATAGAGAAACTGAAATGGCCTTTCAAGGAACAAGATGTACGGAAACTAATAGACGCTGTAAGATGTGAGATGGACTTATTGTCCTTGGCTCTGGACAGAAATTCAACACGGCTGCTGCAAAAGATCAGTCTTCACTCCCAACACAACGAGCAGCTACTTTTGGAGTTGAAAGCCGCGCTGGGGACTCGAGATGTTGACCATCAGTTTGCTCTTGAAAACGTCGCAAAAAAACTCGGGAGACTTGAGATGGGCCAGCATGGCGTCCAAGGACAAGTTCAGCAGCTGCACGAACGCCACGACTTAGAGGAAGCCATACAGAAGCGACAGTCCATCCTTGATTGGCTAACTCCTATTGATCATGAATCTCAACAGCGCGACGCCATTCGTTCACGACAAGCTGGAACCGGCCGATGGCTGCTAAATTCACAACAGTATCAAGACTGGCTCGCTGGAAAGCATCGTACATTGTTCTGCCCAGGAATACCGGGCGCAGGAAAGACGGTTCTGGCTTCCATAATCAATGAGGATCTGAAGCACCGATTCCATGTTGACCCCCAAATTGGCCTTGCCCATCTGTTTTTTGACTACCGTCGCCAGGATCAGCAGTCATTAGAGGTTCTCCTTTCTGGCTTGCTGAAACAGCTTGTTGCACAACAGCTACCATTACCTAAACAAGTGGAAGCTTTCTACACAACTCACCGACAGAAGTACTCTGGTCGGGTCAGTACAGTCGTGCCGACCTTGGAAGTAGTGATTGCGAGCTTCTCAAAGGTCTTCATTGTACTAGACGCTGTTGATGAATGTCTGGCCCCCGAACAAAATTGTACAGACTTCTTATGTGTCATACAAGAGTTGCAGGAAAGGCATAAGCTCCAACTCCTCGCCACATCACGTGTTATTCCGGAGGTCACCGAGCGATTTACGGATGCTTCCATATTACAAATCCAAGCAGATGCTCAAGATGTTCGAAAGTACCTCACTCAACAAGTACATCGACTTCCAGGCTTCGTACGAAAAGATGTAGAACTGCAAAATGAGGTAATCTCCAGCATCGTTGAAGCGGTGCAAGGGATGTGAGTTAGTCCTTAGTCGTGTCAGACGTTATTCTAACTATATAGGTTCCTCCTTGCCAAGCTTCACTTGGACTCTATGCTTGGGAAAAGGTCCGTAAAAGCACTACGAAATTTACTCCATAGTCTCGCAACGGGATCAAAGGCCTACGATGCTGCATACGAAGATGCGATGCTCAGAATTGAAGGGCAAATTGATGATCAAAGAGAGCTGGCAAAGGAAGCATTGGCCTTTCTCACCTGCACTAAGCACCGCTTTTCAAAGCTAGATTTGGAGATGGCACTCGGTGCAGAGTTTGATAACCCAAACATCGATCCGGACAACTTTCCAGACATAGATGACATCGTAACTGCGTGCGCTGGACTTGTTACAATCAACGATGAGAGCGACACTGTCGGGTTAGCCCATTATACCACACAGGAATACCTTGAACGAACACAGCAACGCTGGTTTCCACATGCGCAGGCCCTCATCACAAATGCATGTCTCTCCTATCTCTCATTTCCCTCCTCTCCACTCAGTCAAGATGATTGGGCTGTTGGCTTGGGTGAAACTTGGGCAAGTCACGATTGGTGTACCTACAGCGTGAAGAATTGGGGTCATCATGCTAGCCAAGTCCCCGATAGTCATGGAAGGGTCATGGCAGTCCTCAACCAAGCAACAGATTCAAGGTCCAGTATCGGCTTTTTGTATCACGAGCTTACAGGCAATTGGATTTTGTGGCCGCACATCGAAATAGACGAGTCTTTACTGGAAGGCTTGCATCTGGCAGCCTATTTTGGTCTTGAGGCGGCCTTTGTTGCATTGCTGAAGCAGGCAGTGGATCAGTCTTTAGAATTCAACGGAAAGGATCCATCGCTAACAACTGCATTGGCGATTGCAACTTACTATGGCCACGAAGCAATCGTCAGACAGCTGCTACTACACGGTGTCTCGATCGAACCTTCGATTCACTCGCCGCATTCTAATGGCTCAGCTACTGTCATGCATCTCGCTGCAATGAGAGGACACAGTATCGTTCTCAAGCTGTTCCTAGATCACGGCGCCGATGTCAATCTGCGCAATTTGGAGGGCAAGACTGCTTTGCACTTTGCAGTCGCTTGTGGTAGTGTCCCAGCTACAATGGTCTTGCTTGAGGCGCAAGCTAACGTTAATATCTGTGATGAGTGGGGCCAGACTCCATTGCATAAGGCAGCGGCAAACAAAAGTGGAAATCTTGCAATCGTCCAGCAGCTGATCAAGCATGGAGCCGCAATTGACCTGTGTGACGATGGAGGAGATACAGTTCTACATCATGCACTTACTGGAGGCAGTATTCTTTGTATAAAACTGCTGGTCGAGGCGCAAACGGATGTAAACGCTGCTAACATTCAAGGAATGACTCCATTACACCGTGCGGCGGCAAGAGATGACGCCACGATTCTCAAATGTCTTCTTGATCTCGGCGCATCTGTCGAACAAACTACCAAGACCGGATTCACAGTGCTGATGTCGGCTTGCTTGCTAGGGTCTCATTTTCAGGAAAAATTGGAAATCCTCCTCGCAGCCGGAGCGGATCTGCACGCGCTAGACTGTTACAACCACTCTGTACTGGTTTGGGCTATGTATCTTGAACCGAGGCCGGATCTCCTGCGGTTCTTACTTGAGCAGGGCGCGGATCCTAAATTGGGTGTATCCCCCTTATCATATGCTGTGTCACAGCTTGCCGAAGATAAGACTGGTACTTTTCCATCACGACAAGATTCGGTTGGCGGATCCATTAACTCTTTGGAGTCTGGTGGGTATGACTCGGATCGGACCTTTGCAGGCCATACTGTAGAGAATTTTGAAGGAATCAACAAACAGGCTAAAGAAGAATGGCTGGTTCGGAAGCGAAATTGGGAGGCGTGTATTCAGATACTCAAAGAGTCTGGCGCAGAATGAAGTCTAGCGTGGACGCAGGATTATACCCAAGTGTTTCTTTCTATCACATATTTCACTATCTTCTTTTCTTTACTTTTCGCATCTTCTCTTACCTAGCCATGTATACGAGAAGCTAGTCAATCAATACAATCCTTACTCAAAAACAATCTTTGTAACTTCAACAACAGTGACTAGAAGAGAAAATCACTTTTCACGTATCCCCTTCTTACCTCTAAGTAAATTTTGCAAGTGAACATGATTTACTGAGAGAATTGATGAACAAGGTACCTCGATAAACAGCAGCAGTTATCGCGCAAGCAAGATACATAATTCCATAGCTGCGATAAATCGACATTACCACCACATCATCCGGCTCAAGGTACTTCGAAAACCCCTCCTTCACACCCCCTTCCCATCCTTGCCCTCCTCCCTCTCACTCTCAATCTCAACACTCGCCTCTACCCTCTCGGTCATAAGATGTTTAACCCCCCTCATAGCAACCACCGCAACAGTCGCCAGCGCCACAAAAGGCACTATACTCCAAAACGCCAGTCGATAAGCTCGCGCATAAGACCAGTGACTTGCATTCCACGCTGCCGCAATAATCGCTTCGTTAGCTCCAGGTACAGCACTCGCCTTAAACGACGATGCAGATTTGCCCTTCATAGCAGCCAGAAGCGTGGGTACGGAGGAAGCGGGCAAGCCGGCAGCTGTGGCCGCAGATCCAACGTCGCGGGCTAGATGCGAGGCTATACGTGAATTCACGATTGCGTAAATGACAGCGGTGCCGAAAGAGCCGCCGATGGCGCGAGCAGAGAAGGCGAGACCGGTTGCTGTGGAGAGGAAGGCGTGGGGCGCGGTGTACTGGATGCATGCGACGAGGAGGGTCAAGGGGCCTGCGCAGCCGATGCCGGTGAGGGCTGTGAAGACGATTTGGAGGGTGCCCCAGGAGGGTTTTATGAAGGCGAAGCATATGGATGCTATGAGCATTATGAAGAAAGTTACGGCTAAGGGTGTTTCTATAGGTTGATTAGTTGGAGGAAGATTGGAGAGAGTAAGGCGGGAGAGACGGACTTAGGTCTTTGAATTTGGTGGCCCACCATGTTACAGCTAGGGAAGTGAAGATGGAAGCGATTTTGTAGGAGAGTTGGCGGATTGCGATGTTCCAGGAGTCGTCTTCGAAACCGAGATTGAGGATGACTTGTGGGGTTACGGCGTTGATGGCGGAGTAGTAGATCCAACCTTCAATTGTGAAGGCGAAGGTTGAGAGCCAGAAGTTGGGGCCGGTGGAGAAGAAGACGTGGGCGACTATGCCGTCTGATCTTCCTTTCCATTCTGAGTGTGTTAATGGGGTTTCTTTGAGGCTATTGGGGAGACTGTACCGTAGAGACAAAAAGCTATAAAGAGAACGATTCCACATGTCAAGTTTGCACATACATGCGGGTCGCTCCATCGATATGCGCCACCTGCCCAGTTGAGAGCAAGGAGCATTAGAGTGGCAGCGGCAACGAGCAAAAAGGATCCGATAGGATCGCATGCCCATGCCCATTCCTTGAAGCGCATTCGCGGGTAGTCTGTTCTTTTCTTAGGCCAATAGAACGCGAAAAGACCTAGTGATGTGATGCCATGGAGTGCGACCTGGATCCAGAAGATGTATCGCCAGCCGGAAGCGCTGAGGTTTGTGACGGCTCCCGCTGCTAAACTACCAACACTACAAGTTCGTTAGTGACAAAGGCCGTTGCAATTAGATGATGAAGTTCAACGTACGTGCCTCCCATCACACCTGCAACACCGGCAAGTCCGTTGGCCAAAGCGCGGTACTTCAAAGGGAGGATTTCAGAGGGAATGGATTGGACGATGGAGATTGTGGCAAGCGTAGTGCCAATGAGGATACCACCACCAATCAACATGGACATGCTGGTGGCTTTCGCACAAATGATGGCACCAACGCATGCTATCAGAGGTGGTATAGTGGCGAATAGTTTGCGATCAAGGACGTCTGATAGACGGCCGACGGGTGGCGAAAGGACTGATTGCATGAGCAGCGGGCCCTTGTTTCGATTAATCATTCACTCGGTAGTATTGATATTTGGTGGAACGTACTTGAATGATCCAGCTAGCAATTGCGGGTTCGCCCAGCTCGCGAATGATGAAGGATAGGACGGAACCTGCAGCTACAACGACAAAGACCTGAGACATGACTCTGGGTTGAACGTAAGACTACTTTCCGGCTGGTTGAGAGTATACGACATACGCAAAGCAACAGCAGAAAACAACAACCCATGATCGCCAAGAGAGGTTGACATGCTTGACGTCCTCGTTTGCCTCTTGGTCAATGGGCACAATGTGTGCGGTGCGGCTATGGGCAACCTCGACCCGAGTGGTTTCTGTTTTATCATCCATAGCTGCTCACTTGGAATTGCGAAACGATAGAATGAGGAGGGTAAGGAAAAGAAAGACCATTCCGCATGGTTGTGGATGTGCTGCAGCAGGACTAGACTGTCTACGGGCATGCCTTAGGCAGGCTGTCATGTGGGCGAGTGCTACGGGCGTTTTCCCCCACGGCCTTGCATATCGGCAAACGACAACGGCTGGGGTAACAGGATGGTTAATAGTCGTCTGGGTGACATTTGCCGCATTTTGGGGAAAGCTGCATGCGGGGGTCCGTATTGGGGGAAGATTGGCACTTTCCTGCTGTCATGGTGGTGCGGGGAAGAATGCATTGGATCCGGGCTCTTGCCTAGTCTTGCTGTCTCCTTTTTGAGTTGACCTTTCTTCTTGCTGGACTAAATACGGCGTAATGACGATGTACTTGTACCCTCCATAGTAGGTGGTGAGGAGCGAACTGGTGGGGGTTGAATGAATGAGGAAAGGCCAAGGCCGGGGGAGAGGCAGCGCCGCCCCGCTGGACCCTGAGATTGGGGTTGATTGCTTTCAACTTTTTTTCCCTTGTCACACTCTCTTCCGTCAACCCAAATTGAATCCACACAATCTGCAAATATTCAACCGCTCAGCTCAGTCCATAGCACTACTTTCGCCCGCCTGAGCATAGTTCCATCCCACCAGGCCGTGTTATGAGCACCCAAAGCGCACTCGCGGGCCGTCTGGTCCCGCTGCGGACCAAGGACGAAGTGCGCGCCAGCTTGGAGACACACCCGGTCTATGTAGTCGAGGTGCCGGCCAAGTTTGCCAATTCCATCAAGGAGTGAGAGACTCACTCGCTGTGCATGTGCTCGACTCGTCTACTAACTTTGCAGTGCCGTCCAAGCTGCCCTGCCCGACTTCAGGACGTCCGAGATCTCGCATTTGCGCCGCGTTGTACAGTTCAAGTACCTACCGCCACATCTGCAAAAGGATTTCTATCCGCCGACAAGGCTCCCGAGAGGTGACGAAGATGATCCTGCCTTAGCATTTTTATCTTCCTCTCCTGCATCCTCTCCTGCACAACCAGGCAGTGCCCAGACTGCTGACGAAGCTCTTACTGAACATTTTGATTTAGTTCGCTACTTTTTGCTGTGTCCCACACGCTATCTCAGCCGTGCCGACCTCGTAGCTATCATACGCACATGTCCGCCCTATGACGCAAAGACTGCTCTCCCTCGCATCTTCCATGTGACGGTGCCAGCCCTGGCGCCCATCTCCGCAAATCAGGCCGCACAGTGGAGCAATGCATACTGGCCTATCTCGTACAAAAACACCAATCCCTATGGCCCTCATCCAAGCCTCGTACAACGCAACCAGGACGACATCCAGCCCGGAGTGGGGACCTATCTTGGCTTGGCGAGGGCTGCTGGGGCGCAGATATCTGATGAATGTCTAGGTGAAGAAATCGGTGTTGTCGTTGTCGATCATACCAAGACAAAGCCCGAGATCATTGTTGTCGCTGGTGACTGTCGCTGGAGATCCTTCACTGGCACAGCCGAACCCCACAATGGCACCGGCAATGTCATGGCACACTCTGTTTTGCGTGCCATTGCCATGGTTGCAAAGAAACGACTTCGCGCTGCTGGCACTGATCTCGTATACTTGGACCGCCCACTCTTCTGCGACAGCCCCCTCACCTCAGTCGAGCAAGAATATTTCGAGATCAACAACATCCATTCCAGCGGCTATTTGTGCGTTGACCTAGACATTTACCTGACTCACGAGCCCTGTGTCATGTGCTCAATGGCCATTCTACACTCAAGGTTCAGGCGATGCGTTTTCGCCAAACGTATGCCACACACCGGAGGCATGACGGCAGATAGCCCGGACGACTCATCGACGGCTCCCACCGGTCTGAAGAACGGCCTATTTTGGCGACCAAATGAACTCAACTGGAAGTTCCTGGCTTGGGAGTTCAAGGAGGATGGGGAGCCAGTTCACGGTGCAATGGGCCTAAAAGATACCCTGCATGCTTAGATTCGGATGCTCGTGTGGGACACTATTGGATAATTAGCATTGTCATGGCGCATTGAGTTAGTGTTCTTTCGTCCGGTGGCCATTCGAATATGATTTAGACAAAATATGGAACTAGGGACGGGCTACTTGAACATTGTAATTAGTCGGAATGAAATCCAAGCCTCAGACGCGTGGGGATCCAACATCCATATGTATGAATCCTTGTCGAGCTACCGGTAACCCCGATGAGTCGAGCCGCCTCGAAGGATCGTTCCTGGCTTTACTTCATGAAGACTAGCCAGCTGTAGGGTTATTTAAGCGTCTTTGGCCCCCAAGTATGGCAAGATCTAATATCACAAAGCAAACTACTATTCTGATCAAAGAGACTAGGTCGTAACCAACACCATGCATCTCCGTCCCGCCCAGCCTTCGGACGAGCCAGCCATAGTCTCGCTATGCGCCCGCGCCTTTTACAACGAGGACCTGTTCGGTCGAGTCATGCACCCGCATAGGGATCAATACCCCGAAGACTTGGAAATCTACTGGCGGGCAGTCGTCCGCCGCGACTGGGCAAACCCGCGCAACAGGGTCTTCGTCGTCGTGCGTCGCAGCGAATCCCAACCGCCTCAAAATGGCGACAAAAATGAAGAAGATGAAGTAGTCGGCATGGCAATCTGGCAGCGTCAAGGCGACGACGCAACCGCTCAGAAAATAATACAAGAACACAACGACCCGACCCCTCTCTTCGCACACGTCGCACCCCGCCAAAACCGCGCCGCAGACCCCAGCAAAAAAGACCACCTCGCCAACTCTGCAAAATACACCCAACACTACTGGTCAGGCGTACACTCAGAAAACTGGTACCTCTCCCTCTGCGCCGTGGACCCCGCTCACGCCGGCCGCGGCTACGGGCGCCTGCTCGTACAATGGGGGCTTGAGCGTGCGCGCGAGGAGGGAGTCGATGCGAGTGTTGTTTCGAGCGAGGGGTCGCCGCCGTTTTATCTGCGGTGCGGGTTCGATGAGGTGGTGGGGAACGCGCATGAAGGGGAGGGGAATCCGCTTAAGGTGGATGCGGTGAGGGGTGGGGATATTTTGTTCATGTGGGGGAAGAAGGGGAGGGAGTAGACGGGGTGGGAAGGTTGACGTTTGGGATAGGATGTTTTGATGTGCGTTTACGAGGCTGTTTTGGTAAGATTGGGGGTTATTTCCTGGGTTATTCCCCGTGTAACAGTCGTTTTTCTGTGTAAGGTTAGAGACGGAAATAGAATGTGTATTGTCATCAATGGATCGACAGTAAGCGGCGGCGGAATCTGACCTGGTAGTGCGCTTACGTTCCGCATTCGTCGTGTGATAGTGTAAAGGGAAAGAACAACAAACACCCGGTACGACGGTTCGTGATATGAGTTTCCTTTTTGCTTTTCGTTATGGCAAGTTACTGTATGTGCATTCTGAATAGAGAAAAATGTCATTGAACCGCGTATTCTGGTGCCATGATTGAGGGACTGGACCGTCTATATAAACTTGAGCAAGAAACCAAAAAAAAAGAATCACCAAGCGATAACACAAACACAATCTCCTCACCTCCAATCTTTTACCACCACCAAAAAAACAACCCAACCCAATCATCCACCATGTACCTCACCACCGCCCTCCTCACAACCACCCTCCTCACCACCCTCACCTCGGCAACCATCATCCTGGGCCACGCCAACTACAACGACGGCCACAAAGATACGGCGGTATGGATCCAAGGCCAAGACGCCTGCGCCTACACGTACATGGGCCACGACAGCCCCTGCGCCTACAACGGCGGCAACTTTGTCGCTTCAAACACGTTCCACTACCGCATCGTCAACTGCGACAATGGGCAGCCGTTTACGCTGCAGAATGAGGATGGCTCGAAGAATGCAGAGGCTGTGCTTAATCCGATTGATGACTTGGTGCATTGTCCTGGGGGCTATACGATGGGGCAGACTTGGGTTTTTTAGATGGATGAGTGGAGTGGGGGTGGAAAGGGGAGGGGAGAGATACTGACTTATTCGCTCACTTTGTTTGATCTGATCTTTGGGTAGTTTGGAAAGGGAGAAAGATGGGTAGTACTCAGTCTTTTAACGCTCGTTTCAGTTTTGGCTTTTTTTTTTGTTGTTGCGGCGGTTTGTATAGATGGAGAGGAAAGGCTTGAATTCAAGGTTTCGAGAATATCTGCTAAAGTTCTTGCTGAAGTGCCTTTTGTGTGCTTGGAAATGCGTGAGGTCGTGTTTTTTTTTTGTGATGCGGTCATGTGGTGAAGGGTGGGTATGCTACAACACGATGCCAGGACCGAGAAAAATAGCGGAGACACAGGGATGGTTAAGACAGTAGTACAACCGTGGATCTGGCGGAGCTGCAAGCAGTAGCCAGGATAAGTGGAGTGTATTATCACAGGCGCTACACCTCATCAGTAGTTCATGTGTCGGTGTCATGACAGGATATGCTGGGTTATAATTTATTTGTCTACATTACCATTACATTATTGGCATGTTTACTTTGGCAAGCGAAGTTTGCCAGGGACATATGCTCCTGCATCGGTGCGAGCAGGCTCGTTTTTCACCGTCCACTCGACGTCTTTTCTGATGAACAACTGTTCTGTGCTTCGTTGACTGGACCGCCGTTCCAGATCTACACTCTTGTTGCCCGTCGTTGTATCTTCGTCCACTATCGATAACCGCTCCTCAGCTCGTACTATGTCCTCCCTTTCATGCCTCGATTCTGGAGATATTGAGCCCCCGGTCCGGGTAGTCATCAATACTGACATATCATACACTTCGTGCCGCGCTGACTGCGATGCACTGTGGCAGATCGTGTAGTCGTGGCCGTACCTCCCTGATGACTTGGAATTGTATCCAAATCCTGGTTTGACACCGCTGCCCGTGTCGAAGCTCTGAATGAAAGATTTCAAACAGGGAATGGTGCTGGCAAGAAGCGAGGCGCAGACTTGACATTGCTGGAGCTCCAATGCGCCTACACGGTCTACACCAGGGTTCGCACTGTGCAGTGCCTTTCTCCAAGATAAGAAGAACAGGCTCGTGAGTAGAAGCAGAGGTAGGCGTAGCCCGAAGATGCCGAGGACTTGAAGTTTAAACGATATGGACATTTGGAGATTGCGGATGAGGTAGGTAGGGGTGAGGGCGAGGATAAAGTCGGTTAGGGCGTCTGTGGCAGTGACGAACAGATAGCGACTCTCGATTCCTTCGCATATCTGGGAAGAGGTTCGCGGCGATAGAGTGGTAGCGGGACAACCAATTGAGACGAGGAACGCAGAGGCGATAGTCCAGATGACGACGATGCCGGTGATGAAGACGCAGGTTTTCCAGGCATTTCGCATTTCTCTCGTGAAGAGGCGCTGGACTAGGAGGATGGTGGAGAGCTTGGAAAAGCCGAGGCAGATGTAGACGACTACTTGGTTGCTGGAATATGCCTGTTCAAATTGGATTAGACATATGTAGTTTCGATGTGTCATGCTAGTCAGCAGAAAGAGTGTTTACCCATGCCATGCGCGTATACTGCGCATCGGTCAAGGTCCCAAAGGACTTTGCAAGTCCTGCCGACAACGACAGGAGCAGCAATGAAAATTGAATCAAGTCCGTCACCTAACATCTGCGTCAATTTCACACAAGGCTTATACGCGGAAAAAAAAAAGTAAACTCACCTGTGCAAGCAGCATAGCCGCATCATCCAATCCCAACATGCGCCATTTGATAAATATGCGCGTCAGAAACGTAAGGCTGGTGTATGTGAATGACAGAAACGTGACAATGTACAGCACCCCGCTTTGATCGTCGTCTGTAATGCGAGCCCACCGATAACTGCGATCTACAGGCAGAACTTCCGCCGCTGCCATTGTGAACAAAAGGGTGGAACGCGGGAAGCCCCCGCTGATCAAGTTTCTTCAAAATCACAGAGTGACCACGTGTGTAGAAGAAAGGGGGTACCGGCGACACATGAGTACTATCTTCTTGTTACACAAAGTCCGTCGCACAGCGCTCTGATCCTTCCAATCGCTTCTGCGTCACAGTTACCAGCCTCACACCATGGATGTTGCTGCGGCAGACGCAAAAACGTACATGGGACAATGTGCGGTAGTTGATGGCTGGAATTCAGCCGGCACGCAATTTATCTCGTATCATGCTGCAGCCATGGCAAATACGGGACGGGAGGCGTTCTTCGGGACTTTGCCCTGATAGATCTTTCTATGACTGTGTGTTCCTCACGTTCTAGTGGTGTGCCGCGCAAGGTTAGGATCCCGCTGCTCTGTCGACACACAGACGGGACATGGGTTCGTGGGGGGAAGGACGGACGGACGTTGCATCGCTTGCATCGAAGAACAAGAGTGGCTCTAACCGCTCGCCCCGGCCCGCACCCCTGCCGAAGCCTTTACTTTACAGCTACCCATGCTCCATTCCGTACGAAGTGGTACAGCACGCTAGATCCTGCCGAATCCTCTTTGCTCGGACCTTTGCACCTTCACGGCAATCCACGACCGGTTGGATTTGCGGCACGGCGGACGTCTTGGGACAAATGGGCGAATCAGAACTTGCACCTGCACAACGGCCTGACGACCCGAGGGAGAACTGGATCCACTCGTTTGTAGATTTGCTGTGCATTGATCGTCCGTCGTTGCATCCCCAGGATGTGCAGCAGTCCAACGCGACCTCGACCCTTCGCTAACGCGGCTCGAACGTGGTGGTTTGACATGTCGTCCTGCTTAGAACGACCTACCTAAACGCGAAAGGGCCGAAAGAACTAAGCGCATCGATGGGAAATAGCCGGTGATAAATGGGGTATTATGTGCGTTTGCAACAGAAGACATGGGAAATGCGGTTTTTACGCAATTTTTTAATCATACGATTAATATCTCTTCATCGCTGCTAGTAAGGGTTTGGCGAGATTGTTCTTCCTTGGGGGGAGGTTTTATTCGACTTTTAGCCACGCCACACCCGGTACGCCTTACCATCCCGCACAGTGCTTATTATCTGGATCTTTACATTCGTTTTCTTTTTGTGCTCGTTTCTGTTGGTCAATCATGTCGGAAACAAAGGCTGTCGAGGCGGTAGTCTCGTTTCCCGCCGACAGCGAACTCCAGCAAGATGGTGTCATTTCGGAGAAGAAAGGTACGGTTGGCGACCAAAAGGACATGTACCGCATGGGAAAGCAGCAGGAACTGCGACGAAACTTCCGCTTCGTGTCCATTTTCGGATACTCCATGGTCCTCATGGCAACATGGGAAACCGTCTTGACGTACGTAAGGGGTTCGTACAGTTGGTTTTGTGTGGTCTGACATTTTCCAGTACTCTGATCATCCCCCTGACCAACGGTGGCACCGGTGGCGCCATCGTCATGTTCCTCGTCACAGCAGTATGCATGGGATTTGTGATTGTGTCCATGGCTGAAATGGCTTCAATGTGAGTAAAATGCTCTTTTACTGGTTCTCGCGCAAGCAGTTCAAGCACATTGTTGCATAGTCCCTGCGTAGATCTGGTTCTACAAAAAGGAAGGCGACAAGGCATGAAAATGCGCCACCACGGTTACTATGGCAGTCACTGACATGCGAAAAGGGCACCTACCTCTGGTGGTCAGTACCATTGGGTCTCGGAATTCGCTCCCCGAAAACATCAAAAATTTCTCAGTTATGTTGTCGGTTGGCTGTGCGTCTTGGGTTGGCAGACGGGTATCGCATCCATTGCCTACCTAGCTGGTGGCCAGATCCAAGGCCTCGTCATTCTCAACAACCCCGACTACATTCCTGAAAGATGGCACGGCACTCTACTCGTAATCGCCGTCGCCACATTCTCCATCATCTTCAACACTCTGCTAGCCCGCAAGCTTCCCCTCGTCGAAGGCATCGTCCTAGTCCTCCATATCTTCGGTTTCTTCGCCGTCTTCATTACCATGTGGGTGTTGGGGCCACGCAGCTCGGCCAAAGAAGTATTTGGAGGCTTTCAGGACAATGCTGGATGGGGTAATGTAGGGCTGTCCGTGCTGGTTGGTCAGTTGACACCCATCTTCGCCCTGCTGGGTGCAGACGCGGCGACGCACATGTCCGAGGAGCTGAAAGACGCTTCCTACACGCTTCCTCGCGCCATGATTGCCACAGCAGTTGTAAACAGCATCCTCGGTTTCCTCATGCTCATCACCTTTTGCTTCTGCCTCGGCGACGTGAGCACCGTTCTCAGCACCCCAACCGGCCAACCCCATATCCAGGTTCTATACAACGCAACGAAATCGATCCCAGGAGCCACCGTCCTCGCATCTATTACCACCATCATGGCCGTCTTTGGCTGCGTCAACAACGTCGCTACGTGCTCGCGCCAGCTCTTCGCTTTTGCCCGCGACAACGGTGTCCCCTTTAGCGCCTTCTTCTCCCGCGTCCAGCCCGGATGGGACATTCCTCTCAACAGTGTCTTCATGTCCTTTCTCATCGCCTGTCTGCTTTCTCTAATCAACATTGGCAGCTCCGTTGCCTTCAACTCCATCGCCTCACTGGGCACATGCGCGCTGCTATCATCCTACATCATCAGCATTTCGTGCATGTTCATCAAGAGGTGGAACAACGAGCCACTGATTCCCTGCAAATTCTCTCTCGGACGTGCTGGTATCTGGATCAACGGCATCTCTATCGTGTATCTATGCATCGCCCTTGTGTTTGTCTTCTTCCCTACTTTCCCTCACCCAACAGCTGCGCTCATGAACTGGAACATCTTGATCTATGGCGTCGTTGTCATCTTTTCGTTCATCTACTTTGCTGTCAAGGGGCGCAAGGTATATGTTGGGCCTGTTGAGTATCTCAACAAGGATTTGTAGATGGTATGTTGGGAAAATTGGTAGTGGCCATTGGGTTGGGTCTCTTATAAAAGTTGAATGATTGGAAACGCTAGTTTAAATTTCCATATAATCTGCCATATACCAGAGCTGCAAAGTATGAATACATTAGCGTGAGATTCAAGATGAG